AGAGTTAGTTTTAGTAATACATTTTACATAACCAAATATGTTTGGAATTTTTTTTATGTTATCCATATAACAGTTAATGAGTGATTTTTATATTCTTTTAAAATACTGAGTATTGGGCGCCTGGGTGGCTCAGTTGGTTAAGCGACTGCCTTCGGCTCAGGTCGTGATCCTGGAGTCCTGGGATCGAGTTCTGCATCGGGCTCCCTGCTCAGCAGGGAGTCTGCTTCTCCCTCTGACCCTCTTCCCTCTCATGCTCTTTATCTCTCATTCTCTCTCTCTCTCGAATAAATAAATAAAATCTTTAAAAAAATAAAAATACTGAGTATTTTTTAAATTTTTATTTTATTTTTTTAAGATTTTATTTATTTGTCAACGAGGGAGAGAGAGAGAGGACAGGCAGGGGGAGCAGTGGGCAGAGGAGAAGCAGGCTCCCCACTGATGCAGGGAGCCCGATGCAGGACTCAATCTCAGGATCCTGAGAGCATGACCTGAGCTGAAGGCAGATGCTTAAATGACTGAACCACCCAGGCGCCCCTGAGTATTTTTTTTTAAATACCAAGTTTTTAAAATACAGTTTGTATTTTACATTTACAGTATAAGGTAGTTTGAACTGACCACTTCTCAAGTGGTCAGAATGGGGTGTACTGTGTGAATTAATTCTGTAATAACATTCTGTTGTAGTTTGTTGTTCAGTCCTTATGTGTCATCTGAGACAAGAGGCAGCAAACTTTTAAACATGATGTGCAAAATTCAAAAGTGATGTCTATACAGTTCAGTAGACATTGGTGATCATGCCACTATGTTTGAGAATATTGGAGTTGAAAACGGTAGTTGTGAGCTACCAGCTCTTTAAGAGTTTCTGTTTGGGCATACAGATTTCTTGAAGACCATCCTTAGGCTTGGTGATTTGCTAGAAGGACACACAAATCAGAGAAAAGCAGAGAAAAAACTCATGATTATGATTTATTACAGTGAAAAGAAACAGAATAAAATCAGCAAAGGGAAAAGTGTGTGTAGGATGGAGTCCAAGAGAAACCAGGTACAAGTTTTTAGTTACCCTCTCCTAGTGGAGTTATATGGACAGTGCTTCCTTTTTCCAGCTACCTTGTATGACAACATGTGCAAAGTGTTGTCAACCAGGGAAGCTTACCTGAGTCTTGGTGTTCAGGGTTTTCACTGGGGATCAGTTACATAGGCATGGAAGTACCCATATAACTATCTTAGCTACTCTGTCTCCACCAGCTTTCCTTATGCTTCCTCTCCTCCAAGGTCCATCTGATAGAATGGCTCAAACCGTAGGCATAGAAAAACAGACATTTACTGTATGGCCCAAGATCTTAGGCAAACAAAGAGACTTACCAGGCAGGATATTCCAGGGGCTCAAAGTTACTTCTCAGGAGTCTATCACAGTTAAGTCTTTTCTTTGGAATGTGCAGACTTTGAGCTCCCTCCCCCCCAACCCTGCACCAGCCTTGTAGAGTTACCCCTTTATTGCACAGGGTGATTTGGATCCTTACATAGGAGAGTGTGTCTCTAGTATAAATTCTTACAGTGACAGAAGGTAGATGAGATTGGCCATAGCTCAATTTACATTAAATATCTAATATGTTTTAAACAAAGGTCATGGATTACTAACAAAGTAGAACTATATAAGGGCTGACCAAGAAGTAAAGAATCTAGCATGTAGGACAGCCCTACAGTAACAGGTTTCTTAGTTGGAATCAACTCTTATATTTTACTACTGCCTCCCATAAATTCACCTTGCTTGGTGAAATACATATATTATCTATTTTATTTATTTGTATTAAAAATTTAATTGGAATATAGTTGATACACAATGTTAGATTAGTTTCATATATATAACATAGTGATTCAACATCTCTCTATGATATGTTATGCTCACCACAAGTGTAGCTACCATCTGTCACCATACAACCTTATTCCATGACTGGAAACCTGTATCTTCCACTTTCCTTCACCCATTTTGCAGCCCCCCCATTCCCGCTGGTAACCATCCATTTGTTCTCTGTATTTGTAGGTCTGATTCTGCTTTTTGTTTTTTTATTCAGTTGTTTTTTAGATTCAACATATGAGTGAAGTTAAACAGTATTTGTCTTTTTCTTACTTAATTCACTTAGCATAATATCCTCTAAGTCTATCCATTGTTGTTGCAAATGGAAAGATTACATCCTTTTTTTATGGCTATGTAATATTCCATACCACATCCTCTTTTTTTTTTTTAAGATTTTATTTATTTGACAGAGAGAGACACAGTGAGAGAGGGAACACAAGCAGGGGGAGTGGGAGAGGGAGAAGCAGGCTTCCCACGGAGCAGGGAGCCCGATGTGGGGCTCGATCCCAGGACCCCGAGATCATGAGCTGAAGGCAGGTGCTTAACGACTGAGCCACCCAGGCGCCCCCATACCACATCCTCTTTATTCATTCATCTATTGATGGACACTTAGGCTGTTTTCAAATCTTGGCTATTGCAAGAAATACACTATACACCAAAAAGAATAAAATACCTGGGGTTAAACTTAACCAAGGAAGTGAAAAACCTGTACTCAGAAAACTATAAAACATTGATGAAAGACATTGAAGACAACACAAACAAAGGGAAAGATAATCCATACTCATTGATTAGAAGAATTACTATTGTCAAAATGTCCATACTACCCAGAGTAGTCTGCAGATTCAGTGCAATCCCTATCCAAATACCAACACCATCTTTTTAATAGAACTAGAACAAATAATTCTAAAATTTGTATGGAACCACAAAAGACCCTGAATAGTGAAAACTGTCTTGAGAAAGAAGGACAAAGCTGGTGGAGGTATCACAATTCTAGATTTAAAGATCTACTAGAGGGGGCGCCTGGGTGGCTCAGTCATTAGGTGTCTGCCTTTGGCTCAGGTCATGATCCCAGGGTCCTGGGATCGACCCATACATAAGGGTCTCTGCTAGCCGGGAAGCCTGCTTCTCCCTCTCCCACTCCCCCTGCTTGTGTTCCCTCTCTCGCTGTCTCTCTCTCTGTCAAATAAATAAATAAAATCTTTAAAAAAAAAAAACTGTAATAATCAAACAGTATGGTGCTGTCACAAATATATTATCGCTTTTAATCCACACCTAAATCTCCATTTTTGCCTATGATAGAGCAACTTGTATTATACTAAATATCCTGCAGAGAACTATTTGACATGTAGGGGGAGAAATGAGTTTGAAGGCATCGTAGTGCTTTGAAGTTAGTCACACCTTAAGGAGTCAAGATTCAGGAGAGAAGGGAGAGATATATTCTGTGCTGGTGTTCCTCTTGAGGCGTTTTCTAGCTCAAGTTATTTTGGATAAGACGATAAAAGCTGAGCATTATAGAAGAGATGAGCAAAAGGCAACTGAGGAAGTTGAGTGGAGCTTTCAGTAGTTTTTTTGTTGTTTCTAGCCCTGCGTTTGTGGCTGGAATCCTTTGAAGGGGGCACACCATAGGAATGGGAACAGATCAGAGATAGGCCAGTTTTAATGGTGTTAATGGTGTTTGAAACCCAGTCTCATGCCAGCTCAGTCCTTGATTGGATTGCGGTGATCTGCTCCTACTCTGACTGCTTGCTAGAAAAAAATTAAATCATCTCTGGAAGAAGGTAACATAATCTAGAGCCCCTACACTTTTTCATACATATTTTTATACAGTCATTACATACAATGTGTAACATTCAATTAAAAATTACTAGGCATGCATGGGACCAACAGAGTTAAATCAACAATAGAAATAGGTTATGCAGACTCCGGATTACAGACAAGAGCTTTAGAGTACTATAATCTATTCACGAAAATAGAATGAGAAAATAAGCAAAATACTTAGAGATTCAAAGTAGTCACCCAGAGCTGGATGGTAAAACATGTATTTTAGCATAGGGGAGTTATAAGGCTCTTACTTTTAGTTGGGCTAATGGTTATAATATGTTTGTAATCTGGTAAAGTTGCTCATCCCAACTAAGAACTAGTAAATTAGAAAAGAAGTTGCAAGTAAATTATTGAGGTATTTGTTTTGGCGGCAAATACCTTGTTTGATTTCGAGACTCTACTATGAATCATACCATTGCTGTATGTACCACTAAGAAAAAGAGGCTGTCAATTATATTTTGACATCCCATTAATTATAAACTACATTCTAATTTCAGAGAGGTTAAAATGTGGGGGGAAAGGTGATCCTAGTTTTAAATCTCAGTTCTATCATTTATTGTTCATTTGACTTCGGTCAGGGAACTTCTTTGAAGTTGTTAGTTTATTTGTCAAAATTGGGTAGTATAGCTGCTTTAGATAGTCTAGTCTTTAGAGATAAGAAGACCAAATGAATTAAGCGATGTGAAAGTTTGTAGTACTGGGTATGCATTTAATACTATGAATTTGGCTTTCATTTCTTCCTTCTAAAACTTGGCATTGTTAAGATAACAGGAAGAGGTTCCTAACAGCTAACCAGGGGAAAAAAAAACCAAAAATGCAATGTATTGGTTAAATAAGAACTTAAAAAATTCCTGTTGGAGCTATTTAATAAAGTGTCAAACATCATTCTTTATTCTCTCTCCAGCCCCCTTCACTTCCCCTGTCCCCCCATTTATATATAAAGATATCACTGACAGCTTCCAATGTGATGATTGGTATTTATAATGATGTGACCTATGCATCAAAATCGTGTTGATATTTTTACTATATTGGTTTTTAAAAAGCAAATTTTAGGAAAATTTCTAATCAAAATTCAGCTGTGATGCTGAAACCTCCATTTTTATTTAGTTTTGTAGAATCCCTGCTCTACTGATGATACTGCATAAATACAGCATTAATCAAAGTGACTGAATCTTGAAGGGGTTGGATTTTGTGATGCTGGTTGCCATGAGAATTCCTGTTTATATTCCTATTTTGAAGGTTCCCAGTAAACTCAGAATGACATTTTTCTTGAGCATTAAAATATTTAGAGCTTTAATTTTGTGTTCATTCTGTTCTGTTCTTTTAGGATTTTTCAAGTCACATTCAGTTGATAGGATGAAAAAATTTAAGAGAAGGCTATCCCTCACTCTTCGGGGAAGCCAAACTATTGATGAATCATTGTCTGAATTGGCGGAACAAATGACTATTGAAGAAAATAGCAGCAAGGATAATGGTAAGTATTTGGGGCTGGGGAGGGGAGGAGGGAAGGAGAGATGCTTCCGCCTTTTAATTACTTTATAAATTGAATGTGAATTTACTTTTTTGGTAAGTTCCTAATAGCTTCCTTTTGTTTATTTCTTTGTCTTATTCTCTAGTTCTTAGGAAACAGAAGACTATGTGACTTTTGCTTACTTAATTATTAGAATGTTTCACTCTTATTCCAGGAGTGTTACTGTACCCGGTCTCTAACCCTTACAGATTCTCCTATCCCATTTATCTTTCTATTTTTTATTGTCTCTTAAATAAGAATACCTTATATAATATCCTAGTTGTTAAATAACTGTTTTTGAGTTAACCTAAGTTAATGCAGCTTAAAAGTGTAGTAAGTTTGTGAAATTCCTTTTTGAGGCTTCATCATAGTTTTATAACATTATATATGCATATGGACTATAGATGAGAAGGTTCATGACGTGAGTGAATCTTACTCTTTCCTTATTTTATATTTACTGCAGAGTCTATCCATAATATTGAGAGCACTTAAGTAGGTAGGCATACAGCATTTCACATGTTTGATAGTTCTTTACACAGAGGTTGATATAAAATGAAGAGAACTTGTTTAATTGAGTGGATTAAAATGTAAAATCCTGATAAAATTTATAGAACAAGGCTACATATTCAAAACTGAAGTAACCCTAGGGATGTCATAATAATAACCAGGAAGGAGTTATAGGAATGACTGCTAGTATGTCATGAAGTACACATTGTCTGGGAAGCCTTTCTTGCCTGTACCTGAAATTCTTCTGTTAGAAATTTGTGGCGGTGGGTGAAAACATGAATACCCCTACCCACTTCTGTTGAATGCATATGTCTTTGTTGTGAGAGAGGGAAAGGTATAATATAAAGGGCTCTGAACTTTAAGTTAAAAGTCATGGATTAGAATTTGGGATACTCTAACACACTTATACCCTTATTAATTAGTTATATGACTTTAATTTATCTTACTCAAGCTTCAGTTTATCTCTTTTCTCAGAAAGATCATCATTTACTTAAGTTTATCTGGCTAGTTGTAGTAGGGGAGAGGAGACATAGATGAGTAGAAAATTTAAAAAATAATAATTTGGATATAACTTACGTCGGAGGGGGACACATTTTGCATTTGGGTCAAAACTCAAAGACAGTTCTAGGTCTTACTTTTTTTCTTTGTGCCAGGAGCAAAATCCTTAATTCTCTCTCAAATCCCCTTTGAATTCTTGGTATTTTAATTAAGCCTTGTGTTTTGTTTTGTTTTGTTTCTTTTAGAGAGGGCGGGGGGAGGGGCATAAGGAGAGGGAGAGAGAATCCCTGGCAGGCTCCGCGCCCAGTGTGGAGCCCAATGTGGGGCTCAATCTCAGTATCCTGAGATTATGACCTGAGCTGAAATCAAGAGTTGGATGCCTCACCCGATTGAGCCAGCCAGGCACCCCAATAAATGTCTTAATAGTATTTTAAACATATCACAGAAAGTTATTTCAGGATCTTGTCTAAGTAGCTAACCTTACTCTAATGAGAAGATATATTAAAATTACTGAATTTGATGAGGGGAATAGGTGGCAATTTAAATATGAGGGAGAAAATAGATCACAGTTACACTAAAAAAAAAGCAAAAATGAGTTTTATTTTATATATATTATTTGGACCTTTCAACTGCAGCTACAACAAAAATTACTTTTTTTGACAACTGAAATTCTTCAACTAAGAAAACTGCATCTTTATGTTATTATGTAAACTTAACAGAATGCCACTTCTCATGATTATTTAGAATCTGAAGAAACCTTAAAAGGCAAAGATTGAAATGATGTAGTTTTCCAGCTATTCCAGTTTCTTTTCTTTACTACTCAGTCTGTGCACTGGGTCAGTTTATTATGTTGTTTAGAGTCAACAAGCCTAGTTGATGGATATTGTGAAACGTTGTCGTACTCCCAGGTTTTTTCCTTTCTTCTGATGATCTGATACATGATAGCAGTGACAGTTTTTTTTACAGTAGTGGATGACATATAGGAGGTTGTAAGTAGTGCTAACTCCTACAAATAGCAAAGGTCCATGAGAGGATGAGGTTGAAAGCACAGACTATGGATGTATGTAGGGTATGATTAGGATCAGATATTAATAGTGTTTATAAGAGTGGGATTAGGAGTAGGGAATGACAAAGAGTCCAGGGTGGGCTAAGAAATTGCATGTTCCTGGGGCGCCTGGGTGGCTCTGTCGCTAAGCGTCTACCTTCAGCTCAGGTCATGATCCCAGGGTCCTGGGATCAAGCCCCGCATCGGGTTCCCTGCTCAGCGGGGAGCCTGCTTCTCCCTCTCCCACTCCCCCTGCTTGTGTTCCCACTCTCGCTGTCTCTCTCTCTGTCAAATAAATAAATAAAATCTTTAAAAAAAAAATTGCATGTTTCTACTCAGAATAGTTCACATAATCAGAAGACCCAAATGAATAAGATGCATAAAATCATAGTGATTGCCATGTTATGATGTTAAAAATCATGGGGAAGTCTTACTTGAACTAACTACTTTGTAGAATAAGAAAGATCTGTTTTTCATATAGATTTCCATTACTTTAAAAAATATTGTGGTAAATTATGCATAATGTAGAATTTACTATTTTAACCATTTTGAAGTTTCTGGTTTTAGTGGCATGAAGTACATTCACATTGTTGTGCAACCATCACATCACCACCATCTATCCCCAGAACTTTTTCATCATTCCAAATTGAAACTCTATACCCATTAAGTAGTAGCTCTCTGTTCTCCCCTTCCCTCAGTCCCTGGTAACAACTGTTCTACTTTCCGTCTCCATGAATTTTCAAGGTACCTCATATAAGTGGAATCCTACAATATTTGTCCTTTTGTATCTGACTTCTTTCATTTAGCATGATGTCTTTAAAGTTTCCATTTTTTAAAATGCAGCATGTTATCTTCTTGACTTGCCCAGTCAATTGCTATCATACTCTTCAAATGTTGGGATATTTTACGATTCATGAGCCCCGTTCTCTTTTCTGTACACTCTCCATGGGCTGACGTTATCCAATCCTATGATTTCAGCTACTGTGTATATGCTGACTGCTTCTAAATCTGTATTTCTAGTCAGGGTTTTTGTCTGGATCTCTAGATTCACATCCAAATATTAGTTGGCTTCCCCACATAGATGTTTAATAAGAGTCAAATTTAATATTACCAAACCAGAATTCTTGATTTCCTTCCCCCCAAATCTGATTCTTTTCCAACTTTCCTCATTTAACCTAAATCACTTAAAAATAAAAACCCAGGAGTTATCCTTGATTTTTCTTTCTCCTTCACTGTTCTGTTTCCCCTTCTCCCCTCTTCTGCCATTCTAGTTTCCTGTGTATTTACAATGTAAATAATTTTTAAAAACTCACTATTAATGATAGTAATTTATATGCTTGATAACATGTTTCCAGCTATTGTCCTTTTATGTATTATTTATTTTTAACAGAGGCTCTGCTGTAGCTTTAAAATTTTTCTTTAGATAGATGTTTTTAATATAGGTCCTCACTAAAAGCTGGATGGGGGAGAGTATATATGAAAGTAATTTTGCAGCCATGTCTGCTAACCATTTGGTTCTGTCTTTATAATATATCCTAAATTTGCCTACTTCTCTCCATTCTAGTCCAGGCCACCACCATTTGTTGTTTAGGATACTATAATAGTCTCTTCCTTCTGTTTCCCCTCTTGTTGATTCCCTCTCATCTGTTCTCCAGCAGTACCAAGAGTGATGTTTAAAATTTTTAATTAAAAATTTTTTTTTATTTTTAAAGAATTTATTTGAGAGAGAAAGAATGAGAGAGAGAGAAGGAGGGGGAGCATGAGAGTGGGGGAGGGTCAGAGGGAGAAGCAGACTCCCTGCTGAGCAGGGAGCCTGATGCAGGACTCAATCCTGGGACTCTCCAGGATCATGACCTGAGCTGAAGGCAGTCGCTTAACCAACTGAGCTACCCAGGTGCCCCCAAATTTTTAATTTTTAATAATCATTGATTCAAAGGAGGTTGCAAACATAGTACCGAGAAGTTCCTTGTGCCCTTCTCTTTGTTCCCTCCCTTGGCTACATCTTTCTTAACTATAAACCATTATCAAACCCAGGAAATTAACACTGGAATAAAGTGTGAGTATACTTTTGTGTCATTTTATCACGTGTAGATTCGTATAACCACCACTGCAATCAGGATAAGGAAGTATTCCATTACCAGAAAGAGATCCGTTTTATGCTACCTCTTTATAGTTATTCCACCTCTTATCTCCAACCATCCCTGACCCCTAGGAGTGATATTTTTAAAACATGAATGAGATCATATTACTACCTGTTTCAAAGCTACCATAACTGATTCCAATCTCAGAATAAAATTGGAACATTTATGGTTACATACAAACATGCTTATCTTTCTGTCCTCACTAAGTAACATATATATAGTACAGCACTTGCCCTCTTTGTGTTCCTCTAACACAGTGTTTTCAGAGTTTGACCCCTAGACCAGCAATATCAGCAGCACCTGAGAATTTGTTAGAGATGCAAATTTTTGGATTCTATGTCAGATCTGAGTCAGGAAGTCTGTGGGTAGGGCCCAGCAATCTTGTATTTTAACAAGTCTCTGAAGGTGATACTGAAACATGCTAAAGTTTTACCCCTGCCACATGTCAACTTTTGCAGTAGCTTTACCCTCTGGACTATCTTTTAACTCACCATCACCTATCTTCCCAAGATTGGCTCTTTATTGCATTTATATCTCTGTCAAAAATACTTCTACGGAGAGAACTTTACTCAGTATCCAGTGTAAAATAGCTACTCCTTTATTTTCCGTCATCTCTCTTCTGCATATTGCCTATCATTATCTGATGTTTTTCTTATTCATTAGTTTTTTATTTGTTTCCCCTCCATAAGATCTTATAATCTTAGAGAATAGTACCTTGCTTGTTTTGTTCACCTGTTGATGCCCAGGACCTGGAATAGTAGGCACACAATAAATAAATGGCCTCTGAATAATTGAATGTTTTTTATGATCTCCTTTTTTTCTCCTATATTCCTCAAGACTGTAAAGCTCTAATCCCTAGGATAACTTTACAGAGCAACTAAAACATGTTGTCTATAGGCAGAATAATTCTGTATTTTATTATGATTCTAGATAGGAAATAGTATAACCTAGAAAGAGAAAATTTTCTCTTATATGTTCTAACTTGTATCCTACACTGTTTGACTATTTAATTTTTGCACTTTTTCAGATACCTCTTCCCCATTCATTCTTAAATCATTGGTTATTTTAAGATCCCCCAAATCTTTGATCAGCCAGCTATTGCCAAGGAATGTATAAGCCATAGGAAGCTTTGGACAGATATTATCTATTACTAGTTAGGCACTTTTCCTTTTTCCAGTCTGGTGTTCTACCCAAATTAGATAACTTGGGCTCTCTCTGAGCCCCAAGGGCCCTTTGGCCCCATCCTCCTTTTCCCATCTTCTTTTATGTAGCCATCATTAGTAGAGGTGCAGGCCACGTGGTCTTGTTCTTGGTGTCTGATAAACCTTTACAGGTAGGGGAAACCACATCAGTAGATATTCTTACTCCTGATTATCAGCTGCAAAAGAGCTGGCTCCATTTTAGAGGAGAAAAGGCATTCAGAGAAGCCCAATTCCTTTTAAAATTCTTTAGCTGCTACCAGTAAAACATAATTCTAATACAAAAGACTAATTACTTGTCATAGAAGACTTCATCGTGTCTTTAACCTATTTTAGAGCTCTTCTTAAGGAATCATGAAATTCCTCATGAGCATTACAAAACAGGATTTCTCCCATTTATAATTAAATAACTTAAGTATTCTGTATTTTTTAAATGTTTCTGCTTGTTTATAAGTCTGAGGTTTCTTTAAAAAAAAAAACTCTTTATATTAAAAGTCCCAAATTTTGGGTAAGAAATTTCAGAACCTCTATATTGATATATGCTTAAGTACTTCTGTGTTTATCCATTAACTGACATACCTTTTGAATGTCTAGCAAATAGGGATATAAATTCCTTGAGGCCAGGACCATGTCTTTTATATTCTATAGCATGCCTAATTATAAGGCATATATGAGACAGTTAGTAAATGTAGGAGTAGTTTGGAAACAAACTTGGGATATACTAAAATAAGCAAATGGATAAAATCTATGGGCTAGGTTAGTAGTTTTGTGATTGCTAATCAATTTTGGTTATATAAGAAGTACCTACTTAAGTGATTAGACCAATTTCAAATATTAAAGTGTTTTCTGTAAGTATTTTTTCATGGAAATTATTTTAATTCTGGTTCTTTGTATAGATAGCCAAAGAATTCTTAAATGTTACTGATCTTATAAACCTTTTGTTTTGTTTTCTGTTTTGCTTTCTCAATCCTTTTCATGTGATCCTGGATCTTGGGCTGTTAATGGAATGATTTTGGATACTGTGAACCACAGAGCCTATTGTGAAGAATGGCAGGCCTCCAACCTCTCACAGTATGCATTCCTTCCTCCATCAGTACACAGGGTCCTTCAAGAAGCCCCCATTGCGGAGACCACATAGCGTTATTGGAGGAAGCCTTGGATCCTTCATGGCAATGCCCAGAAATGGAAGCAGATTAGGTAATTTAACAGTCCTTTTTTTTTTTTTTTTAACTTTCTGACTGTAAGTCATACATGTAGTAGCTATTGTTATAGTGGTATGGAAGTCAGCCAGCCTTTATTATCTGATTTTTTTTATAAAATAAAAATCAAGTTGAAAATAACAGAGATAGCAGAAAGATGGAAGGCTCTAGAGAGGTACTAGTGTTGACAATACAGAGGAGTAACATTTGAAAACCTGTCCACCAGGAAGAAAACAAAACCCCTAAGAGATGGATGCAAGATTTCAAGATGAATGGCATTTCAAGATGGTGCTTAATTTAGGGTCATACCCTGGTAACTGCAGATTATCACCATACGATAGCCCAGTGCAATGATTCATATACATGATTGTCACCTGAGTTGCTATTCTTACATCACTATGTCATTCTAAAAAATATATGCCTGCCAGTTTCTGTTTATTTCTCTGGTCTTTTTTTCCTCTGGCCTTTTTTGATAGCATCTTACTATCATGTTTTGATTTTTAAGATCATTTTAAGCATAAATGATCTTATAGTCTCATGACATATTTACTGAAGTTTCTGAGGGTTTTATTTTACTCCTTGCTTAATCTGCTTCCTTGGCAGGTTATTTCCTCATGTGTTTTGTTAATTTGGGGAGTGTGAGCTTATCTATAGTGGGGTTTTACCTGTGGGGAAATGTATGTAGCCTTTATCCCTATAGGTGTAAACCTACAGAATGGTGTGCTATAGTTGTCTCACACTGGTTCATGAGAGATGATTGTTAAATTTTCAGGAGTTTTCCAAGCTGGTTGTTAAATATAGCCATTATTAAAGTTTAAGTGTTAAAAACCTATAATTAAGTAAGCCAATTACAAAAGTAATGAATCCTCAAAAGTCATTATTTTCAAATTATTTTACTACACTTTACTATTACCTCTGCTTTGGGGGTTATTTCTGTTGTATCTGTATAGTCAAAATTTTATGTAATAGTATGTACATTTCTTCCCAACTACATGCTTAGTGATGGTCATGTTGTAGCTTGAACTTGGCCATGGAGGGAGTATTCACCTCAGAGAAACTGGAAAAGACTTCAGATCAGGACTTGATATATTGTTTTGTTGTCTAGACTGGGGATTGGCATACTTTCCTGCAAAGGTCCAGATTGTAAATTTTTCAGGTTTTGTGGGACACATATGATCTCTGTTGCATATTCTCCTTTTTAAAATAACTCTCTAAAGATGCAGAAAATATTTTTAGCTCAGGAACTGTACAAAAACAGGTCACATTTGCTGATCTTTGGTCTGAAGTTAAGAAAGTAATATTGAAAATGTTAGTAATGCAGATTAAAAGTGTGTTGTATCTGTAGCTTTTACAGTTGTGAGTGGCACAAAGTTGAGCCATCTGAGAAGTAAATATTCTTCCAGTACTCAAAAACTATTACCTGATTCAGCAAAGAAGTTGCTCACACCAGTGACAAATGAGTGAAGTTTTGACATGGTCTTCATTGTTTCACTTTTGTGTTAATAATGGAAATGAAAATACGGATACTCATGTTGGAACTACACTTGTTCATTAATGACATGAACAATTTCTTGGTTGAGTCCGATGGTACTCAAGTATTTATTTATAGTCTGAGATTCATATGCTCCTTTGTAGTCCTTGTGCAGTAGAACAGATTTAAGTCTGCCCTTTATAGTACTTTAAGAGTCTTGTGCCTTTCTTTAGGAAACTCTCACTTGTACCTTGGACACCTGACGCTTCCTATTTTGTCCCAGTGTGGCAGCTAAACCCAAGCATTTTCTTACCAAGATCAACAACCCCTCCCTGAGAGAGTAACGGAGTCAATTTATACATAACATCTTTTGGCTCTCAGTTCTCTTTGTCTTTGCTTCCTTGGTATCATGCACATATTCTTTCATACTCAGCTATGCATTTTAAAATATTATTACATCTTATTCAATATTTCTTTGAGGAAGGAAGGTTTTCAGATTTTGCTGGAAATAGAAGGCATGGTTAAATTATCTTTAACATTTTAAAAGTGTGACAGAAAAGGATACTTGACCTCAGATGTGTTGTATACCATCAGATTAGCAATCAGTTACCAATACATTGACTTTTATTGCCAAGTTAATTTTTTGTTCAGATCTTAGTATAAAATTTCTCCAGAAATCTTTATGTAATTGAAGTATACTCTTAAATTACATATCAGTCTATTAAAAACTATCATATTTGCAACTGCTTATCAGTGTAAGAATTTTCTCAATGTGTTATCAAGGGGCACCTGGGTAGCTCAGGTGGTTAAGCATCTGACTGTTGATTTCCGCTCAGGTCATGATCTCAGGGTTGTGGGATCAAGCCTCCTATTGGGCTACACGCTGAGTGTGGAATCTGCCTAAGATTCTCCCTCTCCCTCTGCCCCCCCCCCGACTCATGCACATGTATTCTCTCTCTCTAAAAAATAATGTGTTATCAAGACAAAAAACAAAAATATAGAAATTTTAAGACTGATTTGATAAGATCCTTGAGTTCAGTTTTTTGTTAAATGGTTCTCATTTTCATAAGCAAATATTCATTAAAAATACAAATTTGTAACTATAAAATACTATTTTTTTTACATGTTGGTATTTCATATAACATTTCATTTGAAAGAAGAGATATAGTTACCTAGTGCATTCTTTGATTTTTAGTTAATATTTAATTTATGGGATTATTTGTTGACCACTTTCTAAACACCAGGTACTTTGTTCAGTGTGGGGAATATAAAAGTGAGTAAGCTAAATCTTGCCCCCCAGGGATCTCCTAACTTGGTATAAAATCATCTGAAACCAAAAAATGCACTTCAGTGCAGTGGTTGTGGTAGGTGTGGGCACAATAGTCATCTGTGTCTGGGAGTAGAGAAGATTTTACTGAGTGATGACAAATGAATATAGTTTTGAAAAAATAAGTATGAGTTCACCAAATTGTTAAATTGGGGAAAGGCATCTCTTATGGGTAAAAGGGGGGGAAAGTGTGTTGTGTTAAAGCACTGTAGCATGAAACAATATGATACTTTTGGGGGAATGAATAATTGTATAAAGAGAACCAGTGGTAAGAGATGTGTTTGATATTTAGCGTTTGTTTGTTTCTGGTGTGCAATTCTTGCTAGATGAATTACAGGATGATTGACAAATGCAAATATAGAGCAGGTATTATACAAGTTATATAAGTTTGTTTTTAATATTCCCAGATGGAATTAATCTTCCTCCTCTCTACTCCCATTTAACTTTTATCTTTAATAATAAAGAAAAAACCCGACACCTCTTTGTTTTGTAATTTAAATATATTTTTTCCTCCATACAGATTCACAAGCTTGTTTCTGTAGTTAAATAGATATTCAGTGAATAATTTTTGAATTTTTTTTTAATTTTTAACACTGGAGAGGGGAAGCTCCATTAATGGCTTTAAAAACTTATTTTTTAAGAATATTCAAAGTAGTAGATCATTTGGCTGTAGACCCAGTGGCACATTATTTTACAGAAAAAATAGTAAACTAAATAAAAGGCAAAAGACCAGGTTTCTATTTTAGCTCTGCCTCTAAGCTGTGTAACCTTTGAAAATCATTTAACCTTTCAAAGTCTCAGTTCCCAGATCTGGAAAATGAGAGAACTGACTAAATAATCCTCATGTTCTTTCCAGTCTGTAATTTTATTATTCAGCTCTTGATAATAACTTGGATGTTAATTATTTTCATAGTTTTTCATAATCTGAGTGTGAAAGGTTTGTCACTACTCTTTCAAGACATCTGAGTTATGTTTTGATCTATTAGCTACACAGAGCAACCAGAATGTAAAAAACTTTTATGATTTTTATGTGTTGGCTATCTATATCTTATTTGTAGTGATAATAAATTATGTGATATAGTAAGGTATAATGCATGTCTTTGAAGATAAATGGTGTTTCATTTTGTGATACAGATATTGTTCATGAAAATCTAAAAATGGGATCAGATGGTGAGAGTGACCAAGCTTCTGGGACATCATCTGATGAAGTACAGTCACCTACAGGCGTTTGTCTTAGAAATCGTATACATAGACGGATCTCAATGGAGGTAACCATATGCCTGCGTATGTGTGTTTGTGTGTATGAATACACATACACATCAAACAGTAAATGACCATTTGAAAATTTTCATGAAGGCAAATGACATTGTAAGAAAATTGTTTCTTTGCATTAGTAATGAACAGTCTTGTGAATATTTCCTTCTTTCTTATATACTATCCCAAGGCAAGTATACATTAATTATGTTTAACAATCCGCAAAAACCATGTAGGGTCTCTGTAAGGGAAATGTGAATTTTCAAAAATACTGGAAATTCAGAATGATACTTTAGCCAAGTTTTCTTTTTAGAAAATAAGATTTTAATTATATTTTTGAGGTTTATCCGGATACTTAGTATTTTATTTTATAAATATTTTATTTCAGATTTCAAAATGTATACATAAAATAAGCACCAGCTTTTCTTTTTTTTGCTTTATATTATAAATATGGGTATCATTTCCTTTATGGCTTATTATACCTACTAATTTCTGTAGAACATATAAGTTATATCTTCATGTAAAAAAATTAATAGCTCATATATAACCTTGAGATCAAAGTTGATAATGCATGTTATTTCAGTATATACTATAGATTAAAATAGTTTTCTCCAAAACAATTGAACATGTTTTGATTTAAGAATATTGTTTTTTTTTGGTGCCTTTGAGTTGAGATTACAGTGCTTGGGGTATCTGTCCCGTTGGTTGATTGCATTTTTATTGATAAAAGATTGCTTCTTAATCAATTAAAAAACAATATCAGTTTTCTAAATGATAAATTAATATTTTCAACTCTTGAGATCAACTTGGTATCTGTTCATATCACTATAATTATATCATAATAAAATATATTTTTTCTTCTATCATATGTTTAAAAGTTTTTTTACTATTAGGATTTTTATCTGAACTTTCTCTTCCATTGAGCTGTATTTATTTTTTGCCCCAAAGGTGACAGTCCCTTGATGATATTCTTACTTTTGTATATTATAATAGCTGAAAAGACTTCTTTCTTAACATCTTCCACATCTTGCACACACATATGTGTTCTTACTTAGAATGTTTTTGGATGTTACTTTCTGTGTATTCTTCTAGATAAATTTTAAATATTTTGTTCTAATAAAGTTATTGTGATTTGTTTGGGATTATGTAAAATGTAAAACATTTAATATGGGAGAACCATTATCTTTTCATTACTTAGTCTTACCATTTGGGAATATGGTATATATTTCTGTACTTGAGTTATGTGTTTCTCATTAAACGTTTACATAGTCCCTATACATCTCAATTTTGTTTCATGGTTTGGTTACTGTTACAGATAGTAAGGATTTATTTTTTATAGGATTTATGTTTCTTGGTGTGACAATATAGGCAAGATTCCCTTCTAATTTCTCCCAGTTCACATTTTATAACTAAATGGAATAGAAATGCCCCCCCCCCCTTAAGAGCCACCCTTTCATCCCTGGAATAAATCCCACTTAAATATTAATATAATAATAATATATATTTGTATATTTTTATATAAATATATTTAATACTTATTAAATATATTGAACTTGAACTCATTACCCTAAGATCAAGAGTTGCATGCCCTACCAACTGAGCTAGCCAGGCACCCCTGATTTTTTTTCATGTATTGTTGGATCCGATTTGCTGATGTTTTGTGGAGGATTTCTGCATCTATGTTAGAAATACTGGCCTGCAGTTCTCTTTTTTTTTTGTGGTGTCTTTATCTGGTTTTGGTATCAGGGTAACGCTGGCCTCATAGAATGAATTCAGAAGCTTTCTTTACTCTTCTATTTTTGGAATAGTTTGAGGAGAATAGGTATTAACTCTTCTTTAAATTTTTGGTGGGATTCATCTGTGAAACTGTCTGGTCCTGGGCTTTTATTTGTTGGGAGTTTTTTGAAAACTGACTGATTAAATTTCATTGCTGGTAATTGGTCTTTTCAAATTTTCTATTTCTTCCTGATTTAGTTTTGGGAGGTTGTTATATGTTTCTAGGAATTTACCCATTTCTTCTAGGTTGTCCAATTTGTTGGCTTATAATTTTTCCTAATATTCTCTTATAATCCTTTGCTTTTCTGTGGAGTTGGTTGTTATTTCTCATCTTTCCTTTATGATTTTGAGTCTTCTCTCTCTCTCTTTTTTTTTTTTTGATGAGTCTGGCTAATGGTTTATCAATTTCGTTGATCCTTTTCTTAAAGATGTATTTATTTGAGAGAGAGAGCATGCACATGCACACACAGGGGAGAGGCAAAGGGAGAAGGAGAGAATCTTGAGCAGACTCCCTGCTGACCACGGAGCCCAACACCAGGCTCAGTCCCTTGACCCTGAGATCATAACCTTAGCCAAAATCAAGAGTTGGATGCTTAGCCAACTGAGCCACCCAGGCATCCCAATTTTGTTGATCTTTTCAATGAACTAGCTTCTAGTTTCATTGATCTGTTCCTTTTTGTTTTTTTTTTTTTAATCTCTATTCCATTTATTTCTATACTAATATTTATCATTTCCTTCCTTCTACTAGGTTTGGGCATTGTTCTTTTTCTAGTTTCTTTAGGTGTAAAGTTAGGTTGTTTAGTTGAGATTTTTGTTGCTTTTTACTTCTTTCTGTTGATACAGCACTAATAAAAGATTTCAGTTGTCTCACTATGTTGCATACAAAACCTTACAATATCTGCTTGGTTAGTTATTAAACTGGTCACATTTTCTGGTAGTCTTTGCATCTTCCTACATGGTATAATAATGTCTAAGTAAATTCCATGTGGAATTTACCAGTGAAAGGACTCAGAAATAACTGGGTTTGAGGGTACCATTTCTGTAGAACTATGTTGTATACTTTTGCTTACAGTAAGTGCGTTTGCATTCAGATATTATATATAATCAACATGTATAACTTTAAAACTGTAATAAAACTTACAGCCACTAATCATTAATAAATAATATAGTAGGGCCCATGAATTCAAAAATGAAATGCTCTTGTCTCTTCTATTTGTGATTACCTACAAATACCTTTTTTCCCCTTTTTTTAAATAAAGGATTTAAATAAGCGGTTATCACTGCCTGCAGATATCAGAATACCTGATGGATATCTTGAAAAATTGCAGATAAACAGTCCACCGTTTGATCAACCAATGAGCCGAAGGTCTCGTAGAGCTTCTTTAGTAAGTTTTCAGTCTCCTATATCTATGCCATCAAATCTGTTTGGATATTCTGGGTGTAAACATTTTACATTAATTTTTATATTTGCTTTTTTAATAACTAAATTTTATTACATTGCTTTTAGGATTTTATTGTTTTCCAGTTCTTAAGGGTTTAAAGATGCATGTTGGAATACAATTTAAGCTATATTCTGGGTTTTTTTTGGAAAAATTTTATTAATATATGCTAGAAGTATATAATATATATTAAATATATACTACAGATACAGAAAAGTACATAAACTATTGTGGTATAGCTCAGTGTATTTTTTGCGAAGTTACCATACCTGTGTAACCAGTACCCAAATCAATAAAAGAAAATGCCCGAAGTCCCCAAATCCCCTTCCTGCCACCCTCTCTGTTTACTTTCTACTCTTACTTCCTCAACTGTAGCCACATCCCTGCTTTCTAATGCCAAAGATTAGATTTACCTGTTTCCCATTGTTTTGGTTATATAATGCTTGTAGTATATTTTAATATCGCAAAAGACTTTTTAAAATCTTCATTTATTCACATTCTTATTTTAAAAATACTTTTATTATTTCTGATTATTCATATTTAAACTTTTGAACTTGAATTATGACTATATAAATTATTAAAATACATTTTATACAAATATATAAAAATGTGTATTCAAGTTTATATTGTGCAATATGCATGGAAGAATAGAGTATGTATTCTTTTTTTGGCTGGCCTCTTTTGCTGAATGTTATGCTCATGTTTCATCTAGTTTGTTGCATATAGTTATAGTTAATTTGTTCTTACTGTTGCATGGTATTCCATTGTATGCTATACTTTATCCAGTTCCCTGTTGATGGACATTTAAATGTTTGGGTTGTTTTTAATTTTTGGTTATTACAAAATAGTGGTTCTGTCATCATTCTTGTACATGTATTTTGGTTAATATATGTAAGCATTTCTGTTGAATACATACCTAGGAGTGGAACTGTTGGATCGGATTGTGTGCATATGTTCAGCTTTCCTAAACACTGTCGAAAGAGTTTCCAAAGTGGGTCATACCAATTTACACTCAAATCAGTATTTTACAGTTGTGTTTGTTCTTCTTAGCCAGTTTTTGATATTGTCTCTTTTTTAAAAAATTTTTAACTTCTCTGGTGAGTGTGTAGTGTTACCTTATTGTGGTTTTATTTGCATTTTTCTGATGACTAAGCTGAACACCTTTTTAATGCTTATTGGCCATTTAGATATACCTTCTTTTGTGAGTTAACTGCTGAAGTCTGTCGTCTCTTTTCTTTTCTGCCTTTTTCTTATTGATTTATGGAAATTCTTTATACATTCTATATAAAGAAACTGAGTTATATGTCTTGCAAATATCTTCTACCATGCACCAGTTGACCCTTGCAATTGCATTAAGCACTGCTGATTGAAAGGTCAGCTTTCCCTGTTGCAGTGTCACCTTTGACATAAGTTCAGGTGATTGTATATGTAAGGATCTCTTTTGGATGGTTATAGTCCTATAGTAGAGGTACATATAAAGTGCTGTGGGATAACAGACAAGATAGCAAGTAAAATGACTTTGCATATCACAGGCTTACAGAGGAGATAGTGCTTTAGCTGGCTCTAGAAGGACGGGTAGGAACTTGTCAGGTTGACAGTGGGTAGAAGGGTGTTCTGAGCAGAGGAAACTTGATGTACTAATACCCACAAGCATGAATGTAGGTATGTTGGGGAAATTATAACTGATATGAAGGGTAAATGTGGAATAAGATTAAAGAATAGGGCTTGAAAGAATAGGATAAATCCAGACTGTAAAAAGCTTTGGCTACCAGGCCAGGCAAGGAGCCTGAACTTCATTCATCCCATGTAATGGGCCTCAGAGGTATTGATATAAACAAGGGCTGATGTAATCACATTTTTGTTTCATAACAGTGGCTTCAGGAAAAGTGTAAATGAAGTAGGACAAGAGAAAGACTAGAGGCAGGAAGATGGATTAGGAATTTATTCAAAATTAGGGATGATGCAGCAGTCATGTGGAAATGGGAAGTAGAATCCAGATCCTCAGGGTCATGTAGAGATAAAATAGGCAGGACCTCTGGTACTCAGCTGAACTTTGTGTCTGAAGAAGGAGCAGTTGAGGATTCCTGGATTGCTAGCAGTTGTTACTCTCCTTTTTACATATTATATCATGGAATGTTTTTATCCACCGAAAACTTCTGTTGGGTTACATATTCTAAAGAATAAAATTACCTTATGCTGTATATAACATGAGCACATTGTTAATTTGACATTCATCAGTGTATAATAAAGTAAAAGTATAGCGCCAACTGGATTTTGGTATACAGGTTTATGATCATAGTTTTGCATCACTGCCTAAGACATTTTTATTTAAATAGCTTTGCCATTTGATTACCTGGTTGAAAGTGTTCTTTGGCTATCGATTTTTATCAGAGATTAGTACTCAAGATAAATTTTGGAGTTATTGAGTGTTCAGATTGGAACTAAAGGTATGATTTAATCACCACATAATTGTTAAAGCTATTCTTTAGGAGCTATCTTTTTCAGTCTACATGAAATTAAGGAAAACAGTGCCCTCTAATGAATGTTAAGTGATGGAGTTTTTATTGTGATTGAGTATTCCTACTCATATTCCTTGGTTTTTGATCTAAAGTGGTTTATAGATTTCAGATTAATTATGCCAGCTGTGTTTTGGTTTCTACTAATGCACCCTTTTCATTATTCATCTACCTTGCTAAACTAAAGCATTTGGTTTCTTTTGAAGTATATTAGAAAATTATTCTTCACTACCCTAGGTCTATGTATGAAGGGGAAGGATTAGGGAGTGGATGGAAGGAGATGGGAGAAGAAATATATTCTTCACATGTGTTAGAGCTCATGTTTCCACGGATAATATAGTCCTTTTTACCCCAAGATTGATTTATTTATTTTAGAGAGCCCACACAAGTGGGGGGAGGGGCAGAGGGAGAGGGAGAGAGTTTCAAGCAGACTCCGTGCTGAGCACAGAGCCCAACGCAGGACCCAATCCCACAACCCTGATTCATGACCTGAGCCAAAATTAAGAATCAGATGCTTAACCAACTGAGCCACCCCAGCACCCCTGGATAATGTATTCTTTATCTAAAAAAATAAAATAATATTTTCAAGATAAAATATAAAATTTTAACCTTGTCTTTCTAAAAGTATAAAACTTTATATTTTTGCATATTCAAGAGCAATGTAAAACAAATAGAGTAGTTAAAATAACATACATCCTTTGAGTAGGAATTAAGAAACAAATCACAACTTCTGATGAAGAAAGACCTACAGTAGGGCTAATTGGTTCTTCTATAAATTTATGATCATCATCATCAGCCTAAAATGAACCTTCAGAATTGCTTGGCTACCCTATATTGTTTTTCTCTGGTTAACCCTTCCCCTCTCAATATACGCAGATGATCTCTTTTCCTACATGATAAAGAAGAGAAAAGCCATAACCAGAAACCCCCTCATTTTTTGAATAACAGATGTGCAAATCTATCTACACCTATACTCATTCTGCTCTTTCATCCTTCTTTTTTTTTCTTTTTCTTTTTCTTTTTAAAGATTGTATTTATTTATTCATGAGAGACAGAGAGAGAGAGGCAGAGGGAGCAGACTCCCCGCGGATCAGGGAGCCCAATGCGGGACTTGATCCCAGGACACCAGAATCATGACCTGAGCCGAAGGCAGACACTTAACCAACGGAGCCACCCAGGCACCCTCTTTTAATATTGAGGAATTGTCTTTCTTCCTATCCCATCTCCTCAGGATGCTTTAGAATATTTTTGTCATCCTTGAACACTTGTATATATTCAGTCTCCCTCTCTTGACTAAATTCTTCCTATTTTTATTTTAGAATAATTTTAGATTTACAGAAAAATTTAAAAGATAATATAAAGAATTCCTATACACATACCCAGTTACTACTATTATTAACATTTTACATTACTTTAGTGTGTCACAACTAAGGAAATCAGCATTTTGTATATTACTACTATTCCATACTTTATTCAGATTTCCCTAGTTTTCTGCTAATGCCCTTTTTTTGTCCCAGGGTCCCATCTAGGACACCACATTACATTTAGTTGTTTTATCTCATGTTAAAGATATTGGTTATTGGACTGGTGAAGGGCTGTTTAATATTCATTATGGTTGATTAGAAGTGAGATGTTCTAACTCTTAACATATTTAATTACACATTAGATTAGTGGAAAGCCCACATGCCAGTAGTCAAGATTCATTAGAACATTGATTCACTTAGAATGATGGCATGCCCAGTGGAATTTTTGTGACTGTTAAGTGCGGCTCTAGTAGATTGAGAGTCTTTATATAAAAAATTTGCCTCATTATATTGAAATTATAGGTTTTACACATTTACAGAATCTGCTTGTTCCTAACAATGAGTTGGATTCCTCATTCATGGCTTGAGCAATATATATCATATGTAGTCCTTTTTTATTTCTATGAGTAGGTGAAAAAGTAGTGTATCAAGTCCTGATGTCTCTTAGAAATAGTAAATATATCATGGGGTGTGGAAGTGAGGCTCAAAGTCCACTCACAATTTAATTTACCTTTGGTATATTATGTACAGAATTAAGATCATATCATACTGATGGTAACAGCAATTTTTGGAACACAAGATTAGCAAGTAGAATAAAGGTTCTCAATCTCTTTTCTGCCCTGGACATTTCTAACAGTAACAGTAACTCCATAATCTCACAAGGAGGAAAATGGATGTTTGAAAAAATCTCCCTTTGTGCCCTGTGTTTCTTATATATGCATTCACTTTTAGTATGGCATCTATAGAACTTTTGCACATACTTCATTTGTTTTTAAGCTCAGACTGCATTGCTAGCATGTTAATACCTCTCAAGGAGGGCACTTGTGTGATGACCACTAGGTCTTATATGTAAGTGATGAATCACTAAATTCTCCTAAACCCAATATCACACTATATGTTAACCAGAATTTAAATAAAAACTTGGGAAAAAAAATCTTTACAACCATGATACAGTGATTATGTTGGCAGAGCCAGAGTAATCCAGAAATCTCCCACAATGCTCAGTACCACTTGCAGGTTACATTTAATTATAGAAAGGCTATTATAAATTATAATTTATTTTGGATTTTTAAAAAGTTTTCATGTGCTTATGCTATAAGAGTCATCTGAACAGGAATTTGATTGGGGCTGCCAAAAAAAAAGCCAGGTATTCTCTTGGAGCAGTGAAATAACAAAAAACTATCTTCATTTGTTTGGAAAGTATAACTAAGTAGATTTTTATATTTTATTAAAATATAAAGTTGGGGCACTTGGGTGGCTCAGTTGGCTAAGCATCTGACTCTTAATTTCATCTCAGGTCATGATCTCAGGGTTGTGGGATTGAGCTCCAAGTTCCGCTCTGTGCTCAGCTGGGAGTCTGCTTGAGATTCTCTCCCTCGGCCCCTCCCCCTGCTCGTGCTTGCACTCTGTCTCTCTCTCTAAAATAAATAAGTCTTCACAAACAATGAATCATGGAATACTACATCAAAAACTAATGATGTAATGTATGGTGATTAACATAACAATAAAAAATTATTAAAAAAATAAAGTAAATAAGTCTCTCTTTTTTAAAAGATTTTATTTATTTGACAGAGAGAGAGACAGTGAGAGAGGGAACACAAGCAGGGGGACTGGGAGAGGGAGAAGCAGGCTTCCCGCTGAGCAGGGAGCCCGATGCGGGGCTCAGTCCCAGGACCCTGGGATCATGACCTGAGCCAAAGGCAGATGCTTAACGACTGAGCCACCCAGGTGCCCCTAAAATAAATAAATCTTTAAAAAATAAAATATAAAGCTTACTGTTTGATTCCTTTAGCTATTTCTGTTTTTATTTTTTTATTTTATTTTATTTTTTTTTTAAAGATTTTTATTTATTGAGAGAGAGAGAGAGAGAGAGAGAGCCTGAGAGGGAAGAAGGTCAGAGGGAGAAGCAGACTCCCCGCTGAGCAGGGAGCCCGATGTGGGACTCGATCCCGGGACTCCAGGATCATGACCTGAGCCGAAGGCAGTCGCTTAACCAACTGAGCCACCCAGGCGCCCCTATTTCTGTTTTTATAAAACTTTTAAACTATTTTAAAATAATCTAATGATGGAACTCAGTCTAGATTGTGAACTCACAAAAGCAGGAATCATTTCTGTCGTCTTTACTATATCCCTAGTACCTAGCATTGTACTTGGTAAATGCTGGATAAATGAACTTTGTCCTCTGTCCTCTGAATAATTTCTGTAGGAGAGCATGTCAACAAGCTAGTCATTATATCTATTGTTAATCTTGTCATGTTCAGCAGATAAAAATGCAAGCAAAATTTTCTAAAAATTTCATTTAAAGATTAAGTAATATTTACATGTAATTATTAAAGCCTTAAGGCTGGAAATTTTTAAATGAGGTGGTTACACTTTATTCTGGCAGATAATTTCACTAATATAACTATGCCTTTTGTCTGAATTCTCTGCCTGCCTGCATGATGAAATTCAGTAATGCTCTTTATCTTATAGATTATTCAAATTTAAATTAAACTTTATAATTATAGTACAGTATTTACCTTTTTAGAAAGCAGACTTTCACGGCACCTGGGTGGCTCAGTCGTTAAGGATCTGCCTTCGGCTCAGGTCATGATCCCAGGGTCCTGGGGTCAAGCCCTGCATTGGACTCCATGCTCAGTGGGAGGCCTGCTTCTCCCTCTCCCACTCTCCCTGCTTGTGTTCCCTCTCTCGCTGTCTCTCTGTCAAATAAATAAATAAAATCTTTTAAAAAATAAAATAAAAAGTAGACTTTCAGCATATTTTAATTATCTCACTAAATGTCATTCTCTGAAGACTGACTTTATGATATTAATATTTGATCATCCCTTAGTTTATTCCTTATATACTTCATATGATACAGTAATCTCTATAACATTTTTATCTTTACAGTCAATTTGTAGTCCACTTACATACTCTTTAAAGCAAATATCAGCATTTTTGTCATAGCCACTGGACTATTGGACCAAAGTATATTTGATGTCTTAAAGTTGAGTGCTAGTATTTGTTTACTTAAGATAAAAGAATGAATAAGAAAATTTCCCAGCTCTTAATGAGCTTGCAGTCATATTTTTCTTTGTGGTTCTCATTATTATAGATGATATTTTCATTTTTCTGAGCACATTGATTGTTTTCTTTATGCTAGTTTCCATTTACTATCACTACAGTTTTTTTCCCTTCATTTAAGATATGACACAAGACTTAAAATTCATGGCAGAAGTGTAGTAGTTCCATATTTGTGATTTTAATGAATTCTAGAGATAGGTATAAGAAAATAAACACATTCTACCATTGTTTATGTGACACTGGCAATTAGCGTTTTTTCAGAGTAGTTAAGATAGTTTAAGATCCTATCTAAATAGGCTATAAATAGATTATACATATAGTAAAAGATTATTCAGGATCAGGTTCTCATGTACCAAATAGTGGGCTATTTGCCACATTTTCCCTATTAAAGTTAAAAAACTCCATTTCTCCATTTGTAATTGGAAACTGTTACCTACTGTAGTTTCACCTTATTATTCTGCATAGTTATTGATAATAGAAAGCATCTCTTAGTATCTCTCAGTCACATATAAGACAGTGCACATCGGTGGATGGTGTGTGACAGTTCCAAAATCACATTTTTTAAATAAAATTGCTTGAAAATACCACATAGCGAGAAAAACTTTAAAGATTCCCCAAATTTTTGCAGTCATCCATTAATACCACCTCTGAGCGAAGTTTTTACTAGTTTAGCAAAATTGAATTAAGTACTATTAGACATACAGTTTTCCTCCTGGCTTTTAAGAGGATATAAATCATTATAACAAAAGGATAAAAAATGTCAGCTTTGCTTTACTAAAAACAATAAAATTTAATTAAAAAAAGATAGTCTATTTGAGGGACCTGTGCTATTTTTGGCCTTTCAACTTTGGGCAGTTTACTGTTGAAAATGTTAAGTCAAATTGTCAAGTACCATTTTTATTTTCTTCAACACCTCTGGAAAAATTGCATATTTGAACCTTCACAGTTGGACTAAAACATAGTATTTAAGGAGCCAGTATTATTTATATAACTTTGAGAGCTGAAATTATGTATAAAAGAACATTGTTTCTTTTCACTGGCTATTCATTTAAGGGCATGAGCACCACACTCAGAAGTGAATCTTCAGATTATTGCCTTTTCCACGATCTACAAAGGAGTACGAGAAAGCAATTTTAAGAAGATTCTTACTCCTCTGTTGTTTATCTTTTTTCTGTTGCTGCTCTCTCAATCCCTAAGTTTTCATCTCTGTATTTTTTTTGTTAAATCTTTTGTGTTGAGGCTTTTTGTTTTTAGTTTTTAAATATTAGGTTTCCATTACATATTTGGGTGTATTCCATCTACTTCATTTATTGACTCCATACAGAAGTGAGGCAAACAAGCTCAAAGTTTAAAAGCAATGGTTTTGAGAACCTACTTTTAAAGACTTTTTGGGAAAGTGTGGGGGTGTCAGATTTAGACTTACTACTTCTGTGTTTCCTGATTCGTAATGGAGTGTGACTTGCACTTGTCTTTTTCATTGCATTTTGGTTAGAAAACCTGAAACAAGTAGTATTTTATTGTTTGCAGGCCGTCCTAGAGAAGTCGAAAATTGGTGAAGGAATAACATATGTAGGAAAATTACTTAATTCTCAGTTTTGCTAGAAAGAAAATCATGTAGCTGTCTTTTATAAAATTCTTTAGTATCTTAAAATCTCAGGGCCTTAAACATTTTTTCTTAGAATGTTAACCAATCTATATAAAAAGATGGTTCAGCAGTTTTAATTGTGAACTTTGATGTTTTAGAACCTTTGAATGTTCCAACATTGGGTAAATTTTAAAACTTGACAGATGTTCAACAGTTTAATTGTAATCAGATTTTTCTATTTCAAGACACTTTTGAGCAGGAAAGTTTCAGAAATTGGTGAAGGGGGGCACCTGGTTGGCTCAGTCGGTAGAGCATGCGACTCTTGATCTTGGGGTCGTGAGTTCAAGCCCCATGTTGGGCATGGAGCTTACCTTAAAAGAAATAATAAAAATAAAGTGCACTCCTTTAAAAAGAAAAAGAATAATATCTAAAAAAAGAAATTGAGGAAGAGATGGATTGAAATTTTAAGAATACTAAATTTATTGTTTGCTTTCAGTCAGAAATTGGGTTTGGAAAAATGGAAACCTATATCAAATTGGAAAAGCTTGGAGAGGTAAGCAGATACTTATTTCAAAAATATAAAGCACCTTTTTTTTTTCTTGTTCATTATCCAAACTCCACAGTTAGGCCACCATTTCTACCAACCTAGAAAAAAAACGTAAGCACTATTGTCTAAAAGATTATATCTTGTACCAAAAAGGCAACAGAATGTTAGAAGGAAGAAAACCTTCAATTCTTGAAATTATGCCATCAATTTGAGAGGAAATGAGTATTTTTTATAGCTTGTAATCTTTTATTGAAGCAAAAAATATTGTGCTTTCTTGGTAACACAATATAGGCATCTATTAGCCTCCTGGCCGTCATGTGGGAAATTGAATGAGTTCAAACCTGCGAAAAATCAAAATTTTATCTCTAAAGATAAAAACACATCTCACTGAAGGTTAAGGAAATTTTTGGCTAAGAAGACCTTGGTTTTCTTGAACTTGTTACTAGTACTGACTGATTTTGAAGTGGTTTGTCTTCCAGGGTGAGAAAGGGCCAACCAGAAAATAATGGAATTAGCTAACAGGGAAGCTTAAGAGAATTTGTGGGCTATCTTGGCAATGGTAGAAGAACTCTCCTGTAGAGTATATTTGTTCTTTAAAGGAGAGTGAAGGTACACAAATTCTGAAAAGTCTGAGAACTGATAAAATTTTTCTAATTTAACATTGTGTCAGTTACATTTTCAGTTTTCAGTTAATATGCTCACTTAGTTGCCTCAAAGTCCGCATACCATTGTAGGTAAAGTACCTTTGACTCTAAAGCTACTGATCCAGTTGTTAATCTGATAAAAAGTACAAAAAGTAAATTAAATATTCTATGTTTTCATACTTTGAGGCATTCCATAGGGTTATAAGAATATGGAGGCTCTGCATATGGTACTACTGAAAGTCCTCTTAGCTATAAGAAAACCAAGACTAAAACTCTACAATGGTAGAGTTTTCCTTGCAAAAATGGACTTTAACATATGCTTACAAATTAGGAATTTAGTTAGGGCTCTTTATTGAATAGATGCTATAGACAGACTCTTAGGATATTTTGATGTGTCTTTCGAAAATATATTTCATAGGGTACATATGCGACAGTATATAAAGGAAGAAGTAAATTGACAGAGAATTTGGTGGCATTAAAAGAGATCCGGTTGGAACATGAAGAAGGTGCACCCTGCACAGCAATAAGAGAAGGTAAAATTTGATCTTTGTGAGCAAAATGTATGAAAGAGTCTATATGGAATGTTTTAAAACCAAAGCTGCATAACAAGAGTTCATTTTTTTGTAAGTAGAAAGAGCTCAGATATAGAGGACTGGAGATATACTTAGACATTAGAACTAATATTTAAAGTCAAAATATTTAACAGTATTATTATTGTATAGTTTATAGTGAGATACTATGAAGTCACTAAAAATTATTGTCATGGGTAAATATTTGACATTGGGAAATGTTATATATTATCTATGGGGAAAAGCAAACTATAAATTGATATATGCAGAATGTAAATACCATGATACCATTTTTTTTTAAAAGCTAGGTTATCCAGAAAATGGCTTGAAAAGCAACTCATGAGCAATTTGGAGGAAAAAAATGGTATCTTAAACTATATCTAAATTAATCTTGTAAGTCTCAATAAGTTAATATTTGAAAAAAACAGAAGATGATGTTATGGAGAATATTACTATAACATTGGGAATAGTTTTAAGTATTAAAAACAAGCCCAAAGCCATTAAATAAAAGAAAAAATGATTCTATTAAAATTTATACTACAGATCCCAAGGTGAATTTTTGTTTTACACTTAAGAGAATCTTACACTCAGTTCATGTGTTAAACTTCAGGTTTTTATAGTCTGGCTACCACAGACTAAATAATTGACTTTCTTTTCTTTTTTGCAGTTTCACTATTAAAGGATCTAAAACATGCAAATATAGTAACCTTACATGATATTGTTCATACAGATAAATCTTTGACTCTGGTTTTTGAGTATCTGGTAAGCATTTAACAAAAATTCAGTATTTACTTTTGCTGTAATAAAACATAGGAAATTGAGTTCACAGCTCCAGGGCATTGCTGTTTAGTTATTGGTATTGAATTAAATTATGTGTGGTGCATTCAATATCTTTTCTCCAAGAAAAAAAAAACACTTTTAAAAATTATATACTGTTAAGTAAATCAGCCATGCCTTCTGAGAAGTATGTATCACATAGTAAAGTACTGTATTTTTTCAGGATAAAGACCTAAAACAGTACATGGATGACTGTGGAAACATCATGAGTATGCACAATGTAAAGGTATGTTTTAGTGTATCATTTTAAATAGCGCTTATATTTTTCAGACATAAAAAGTAACAGGAATATATAGAAATAGTAATTTTAGAGTTTTCAAAACATATAAATATGTAGTGTGTGAAAACTGCTGCTTAGAATTTTTTCGGGCCTGTTGTTCAGCTTCCTGCCGTGGCTTATTCTTAATGTCCTAATGCTCTATTTTTCACCTACGTGTAAGCTGAAGATACATTCTTGAATCCTCTGTACTTGAGGCTCTTTTTCGTCAACTCCAGAGAATTGAAGACCTTCTGTGTTCCACATCCCCTTTTCTACCAAAATGTACAAAAAATTCTACCATTAGCTTTATAGGAATTGCTTTTTTCAGAGAGTCATTCAGAGCTCTACAGTGCTAATTCCCTTTTCTGAATCATAGCAGATTTCGAAGGCTGAGTAGGAGGTGCAGAAAGTAAAGTACCCAGAGGGTGGGTGATAGAAGCTGGTTTAGGTTATTTTTATAGCACGTAATTTGCCAGAGCTATGCAGCACCATTCTCTTTCACACCTCAGAATTTTTATAAAACCACCAGTTCCAATGCCTTATTTTAACAACACTGTCCCAGATCAGGTTTTTTTTGGCGGGTGGGGGTAGATGTTGGTTAGTTGTTTTGCCAGAATATCATAATCAGATTGTAAGCCTTAGTAGGCCTGTGAGCTTATGAGGATATATTTATTTTAAATCATTTTCTATAACAAATGGACTATTACTATGCAGAGTTTCATTTCACTTTCTTTTCAATATTTATTTTCATAAAAAAATAAAATAAATTGTAAAATTCAGAGAACCAACTATATCAGGAAAGGCTTTGTACTTAAGGATGCGAGTTTTTTTTTCTTTAACTCTTCTAGTCAGTTGCTTTTGTTTACCATAACATGCTTACCAAAGCATTGTCTTATTATTTGTAAGACTAATTTCTATTCATTTGTTTCTGTAGCTGTTTTTGTACCAAATTCTACGTGGTTTGGCATATTGCCACAGAAGAAAGGTATTGCACCGAGACTTGAAACCACAGAACCTACTCATTAATGAAAAAGGAGAATTAAAGCTAGCAGATTTTGGTACGGATGTATAAGATATTTATAAGTAGTTCTGGGTGGTTACATTTATAAGAACAACTGTGTGATTGCTTTTATGTGAGTTTGGAAATTTTCTCTCTAGCCCATGGAATAAGATATTTGATAAAACTTTGGTGGGTGAGTTATGTTCATGAATGCCAAAAGGCACCAGTTCTCGGGTATGGTTTTTAGACCCCTAAGCATCCTGAGACCCTTTCAGGGCATCTCCAAAGGTGTATTTTATCAAAATTATACTAAATGTTACTTGCCTTTTTCACTGTGTTAATATTTGCAGTGATGGTCCAGAAGCACTAAGGGGTAAAGCTACTGGTTGGTGCATTAATATAAGTTAAGGCAGTGGCACCAAATTGTACTTAGTAGTCATCATGTTCTTCACCACTATATACACTTGGAGGAAAAAAGTGTCAGTTACATATAAAAAGATATTTGATGAAGCAGTAAAACTTACTAATTTTATTAAATCTCCATCTTTAAGTACATGTCTTTTTAGTATTTTATGTAATGAAATGAGAAGTATACATAAAACCTATTTGCTGTACATGGACATACTATGGTTTTCTCAAGGAATAGTGTTTATGTGAATGCAAACTGAATTAACCCTTTTTTTCAAGAACATCGTTTGCATTTAAAAAAATGACTGACGGACAAACTGTGGGTACTCAGACTTAGGTATTTTGGCGCATGTTTTCTTGGGAATAAGTGAGCCTATCACTTCAAGGAAAACAACTGAAAGTATTTCTTGCCAATAGGAAGGTTTGAGTTTTCAAGCAAAAATTAAATTTTGGAAATTTGGATCTGCCACTTTGAGCTCGATATTTTCCCATACTTAAAAGACTTTACTGGTGAGATCAGTGGTGATATTAACAAATATGTTTTTTTTTATATGTTTAGAAATCTGTAAGCATTTGGAATATCTGTATAACCTAGGGAATCAATATTTTCCAAATGACTAGTACTTAAATGATACTACAGAATCATGCATGGGTAAAAGATCCACTTAAAGTACAAGATAGACCAGTGAATTTTAATGTACCAAGAGTATGAGAAGTTTACTAATGTAATTTCAGTTACCACATAATGTTTAAGAAATTAAATCTGATGTAGTGTCAAAGAAGAATATGCACAATTTTCAGAAAAGGCTGTTTAAATGCTCTTCCCCTTTCCAACTTCGTATGTGTGAGATCTGATTCTCTCCCTATACTTCGAAGCAACATATCACAACATATTGAATGCAAAAGCAGTTGTGAGAATCTAAGAGTCTTCTTTTAAAATAGACTACAAAAATTTGAATAAGACCATTTGTACTAATTTTTATTTTCCTTTAGAAAAAATATTTTTCATAAAAATTCATGTTAATATATAATAAGTGGTGATTTTAATGAATAAGTTTTAAATTTTTCTCAGTTTTTCTAATATGGCAAATATCAATCTATATAAATAAAAGCTGTTTGGGTCCTCAGTAATTTTAAATTTTAGTAAAAGGGGTCCTGTGACTAAAGAGTTTAAATGCCACTACTGTGAAAGGTGGTTCTTTAATATTCTTGCCATCATGACTTTGTATTTTATATGCTTATTAACTAATTAATGAATGCTATTTATCTGTCTGTCTTTAGCTAACCCAATTTTAATGAGATTACATGTTCCTTTTGCTTCTAAGAAGTAAATTTTTTTACATTAAAGAAACTTTCTATAGTAGCTTTTTGTTTCTGTTTTTTTTAATATTCCACATTTTGAGAGTTTCAGTACTCTAATAGAATGTGATTTTAAAAAGCCAGTGCAGTTTTTACAATTAGCACTTCATCATTTTTCATAAGTGATAATAGTAGTTTTACTTTTGGAGTATTGCACTAAATTTGAAAATATAAGTGTTTCAAGTATTGCTTTGTTAATAATTAAAAACTCACTAAGTGGTGAGTTTGTTCAGGAAATTCCTATACTTTTACTCATTTAACTTTACTATTTGAAAGTAGGTTAATATTGTTCCTTCCTTAAAAAAAGGAAATGGGTATAGGTCACATGTGTTTAAACTTACGAGTTATTTGCATATGCTCATGTACATTATACAGTCTCTTGGGCACAGTTTATGTTGTTACTTTCCTTATAATTGTTATTTTCTCTCTCTTTTGTTTTTTTTTTTTTGCTGAGCTGCATTTACTGGTCCTTATTCCTTAATCCTAAAATGAATAGCAGTGATAGAGAAGCCCTGCTTGGCTATTAGAAATGAAAAATTTACTTTTTGGGGGAAATGCTGTAAGTGCTTTAAATTTTGCTTCTAACAAAGCAAACCAAGCAAATTTATCTTTTCACACGCCAATGAGAAATTCTGATTATTCCATGAGATAGTACAATCAGTTTTGTCTCTGCTTTCAGTTATTTTTTTATTGGTTGTATAGTAAATATACTTAAGGACCACAAGTAAGGGAGGGTCATATAACTTTGAGTATTTTATTGTAAATTGATCTTGAAAATTCTATCCTTTTTCCTGTGATTGATGAAATTCAGATCTAGGGAAGTACTAATATAGACAAACATTTTCATTAATAATAGAAAATGGCTTCTATAATTATACCATATCACAATTATTTGGTTTGAAAGAGATTATGTCATTTCATACCAATACTGAAATACTAATTGAACCAGGAGTCTGTTTGAACAAGCACCCTAGTTCAGAATTCTCTCAGGAGCAGGAGAGTAAGGTACTGAGGAAACTGTAACTTGCAGTTGCTTTGATGCTATGGTTATAGGTTATAGAACAAGCAAACTTGTGGCCCTGTCTTTTGTTCCCACATAACCCACTATTAATATCAGGAAGAGATACTAGAAAGCTCTCCACATCTTGCTAATTATCAAAGTTGGTAGGAAGAGTAAGACTTGTAATTAAATAAGCTAGTATCAACGTTGTTCCAGTTAATACCGTTTAGCTTTTTGTTTATACTAAACAAAAATAGTATGAGTGCTGCCTAACTATTTAAATTTCTGGTTTTGAGTGCTTTTATCCAGTTTAATAAAGTATTGAATTATCCTTTTATTACATTTTTCATATTTAATATTTTAATCAAATATATAAAGTTACATAATAAATCACAGCCTAAAAATGAACTATTCCTTGTTATTTGAAATAAACTATATGTTAGAATAAATTTATATTTCTTCAGGTATCTTTTAGAGTTGCTTCTTCAAGTGATCAGAATTTGGAGGCTTAGAGATAGTAAAAAAACAACTCTCATGCGGGTGACTCAAGAGATGAAGTTGTAACTCTTGCCTTTATTTCTGGATAACCAGTGAATTCCATTTTAAATTGGCAAAGGAGTGGCACAGGGTTTTCATCATTTACATTAATAATAGCCAAAGGCAGCATGGTCCATTTTATTTAAAATTATCCTTAAATATAACTTAAAACTTAAAGTACACAATAGCAGTGTAATTTTAGTCTAAGAAAACTAAAATTGGTATAGCAAATGAAAGTTGGAATCAGGTTAAAAAAGGTAACAGAAGCCTATAGCTATAAGAAGTAAAACTCTGTCTCATTGGCATATTTGGCATTAATTTAAGTTCCACTTGGAAATAATTTTGGCACCATGATTCATTGAAAGCAAGTATCTTAAGTTTAGATTAACCCAGGCACTGTATCAGGTGCATTCACATGCATAAAAATAAACATAGTCTCTGATTGTGGAATTGTTATTATTTAATTACATAAAGATTTGCTTACCCAAGACCACGCACACTCAAAAAAAAATTCATAAAACTGATTTTTTAAACTTCAGGAAACTAGAGAGTAGCTGTCTCAGACATAAAAACTTGTGACTGAAGTCATGGTGAAGATAAGGGTTGGGAAATCCATTATAGCCATTTCTTAATTGTTCTCTTTTCCCTATGAAGGGCTAGCCAGAGCCAAGTCAGTTCCCACGAAGACCTACTCCAATGAAGTCGTCACTCTGTGGTACCGGCCACCTGATGTGCTTCTCGGTTCTTCAGAGTACTCAACACAGATTGACATGTGGTAAATACATACAGATGTTATTGCCATTTATAATTTTGAAAGAATGTAGCTGTTCACACAGGGCGTACTGAGAGATATTTGACTTTTAAGGAGATAATATTTTAAAGAGCGACAATAGGGGTGCCTGGGTGGCTCAGTTGTTAAGCATCTGCCTTCGGCTCAGGTCATGATCCCAGGGTCCTGGGATCGAGCCCCGCATCGGGCTCCCTACTCAGCGGGAAGCCTGCTTCTCCCTCTCCCACTCCCCCTGTTTGTGTTCCCTCTCTCTGTCAAATAAATAAATAAATCTTTAAAAAAAAAAAAAAAGAGCGACAATATAAGCAATAATTAAAAGTTTTGACACATGAGTAAGATTACTTAGGTTTACCAGTTCTGCCACTTATAACTATGTAATGACCTTATTCAAATTACTGTGGTTGGATTTATTGACTATATAATGCAATGATAAGTCATACACTTCCTTCTGTTGTCTTCCATTGAACAATTATATATAATTTTGTATAACATTTTTTTAAACTTATTTTTTAAATTGTAAAATATACATAATATAAAACTTACCATTTTAACCCATTTTAGTTGTACAGTTCTTTGGCATTAAGTACATTCACATTGTTGTGCAACCTTAATGCTCCAGAACTTTTTTCATCTTGCAAAACTGAGATTCCATACCCATTAGACAAGTCCCCATTTCCTCCTCCCACCAGCCACTGGCAGCCACCATTCTACTTTCCATCTCTGTGAATTTGACATTTCTAAGCACCTCATATGGGTAGAATGATCTAGTATTTGTCCTTTTGTGACTGGTTTATTTCACATAGCATAATTTTCTTCAAGTTTCATCCATGTTGTAGAGATATAGTCAGAATTGCTTTCATCTTTAAGACTGAATAATCATTGTATATGTATGCTACATTTTGTTTATCCATTTTTTTGATGGACATATGGGTTGTTTCTACCTTTTGGCTGTTATGAGTAATGCTATAGACATAGGTTAGGTGACAAATATGTTTTTGAGACTCTACTTTCAGTTCCTTTGGGTATATACTTAGGAGTAGAATTGCTGGATCATATGGTAATTCTCTTTTAAATTATTTTGAGGGACAACCATACTGTTTTCCATAGTGGCTCCATCATTGTAACTTTTTGTATACCATTTTAATATGTAAAATTTTACATACAGTAGTTAGATAGTGAGCCCTTTAACAGAAGGGACTGTTTCTTAAGGGTATTGACACAGATTCTAGAAGGTAGTATTTATTCACTGAATCCCCATACATTTCTTTTCCTTCTCATACACACTCACCACCCTGCACCTGTATGTTCTATCTCTGCTTCCGGCATAAAAGTATCTTGAATTATTTGCTTCTTCCTATCCCTGCTACCCACTAAGACATAATAGGCATTAAATCACTATTAGCTATTGGTATGTTTTTCTTCCAGGGTCATCCAGAGGAGAGCTGGACATTTTAAGGCAGGGCAGAGGAGGGGAGATGGAGGAATGGATCTAGCAACATGGAAGTGGAGACAAATAGGATACATATTAACAAATTAGCTTAGTTGGAGCTGAAAAAAATCTCTGTAGGAGGTTTTCTAGCAGACTAATATAAAATTCTCCATCTCCAGAGGCAATCTTAAGGAAAAGATAATTGTCCTTCATAATATGTAAATGGATTGCTCATCATTTTTTTATGATATATCTTAAAGGGGTGTTGGTTGCATTTTCTTTGAAATGGCTTCTGGAAGACCTCTGTTTCCAGGATCAACTGTGGAAGATGAACTGCACTTGATTTTCCGACTGCTAGGTAACAAATATTTTCCCAGTAATTTGTTTCCTGCAATTGTGACTAGCTAGATAAGACTATATATTTAAAAAACTATATTTAAAAATTTGGTACTGAGACTAAGATAGCTGTTATAAGAATTATAATTAGTTGGGGCACCTGGCTGGCTCTGTCAGTGGAGCATGGTGACTAGTAATCTACGGGTTGTGAGTTCAAGCCCCATGTTGGGTGTAGAGACTACTTAAAAATAAAATCTTAAAAAAAACCTGATTACAAAGAAAAGAGTTATAATTAGCATAATTATAAAGATAGAGCCTTCTATGTAACTTCTCCTTTTCATTTACTAAGTTCTGCCTTTGCATTAAAAATTGTATGCAAGAACAGAGAAGAGAAATATTGTTGAAAATTGACCTTTAGCATATTATTAGGAAATATTTCTAGGTTAGGTATCAATTAGGCACTATGGCATTTTTATGGCATGATTGCATAGTCCCAAAAAAGTCAGTATGTGTTCACTATTTCTGTCATTTTGCTTTCAGTTGAAATAGTAAAACCAGCTACTAAATGTAAATTTTTCTTTAAGACACTTTTAGTTCTCCTTATTTATATATATTTGTGTATGTATAAATTTTTATATATTTACAAATAAAATTTTTTTTTTTTTTTTTTAATTCAGGAACACCATCTCAGGAAACTTGGCCAGGTGTTTCTTCAAATGATGAGTTCAAGAACTACAACTTTCCAAAATACAAACCACAGCCTCTCATTAACCATGCACCCAGGTATTTTTTTTCATTTCTTTAAGCTAAAGGGGGAAAACCCACATGATTCTTTCTAGTCTCTTGAAGCATTAGCCGCAGTAAGGATTCAGGGAAAAATATATAATACACATACAGAGTTCTTAAATATTTTAGGATCTGATTTGAATCTGAATGAATTTCTTTCTTCCTTTTGTCAGATTAATTTTATAATTCAGAGACCAAGATACATAAATCATAGAATCGAGCTATAAATAAGATGAATATAGAACATCCATATTAGAATTCTAGAGTTTATGTAGATTGTTCCCTCTGTCAGAAAGAAGACATTGGTTAATGCCATATTCAGTACCATGAGGACCATGATAAAATTTTTGTTTTGCTTCCTATGGAATTATTCTGTATTTACTTACAAAAACCTAAGCGTTATAAGTAAAATCTTGACTCTCACCCAAGATGATCCATCAGTATTTGGCCAATGTTAATGACATGATTTGTATTTGAAGAATGTAAACTCTTTCTGACCCCTCATATCCTAAATGTTGGTCATTTCATTAATGTTTCTCAGATCTACCCCCAGGTCCATTTAAAACCCCCATTAAAATTTCAGTCAGAACATTTCTACTTATGGAATTATTACATTTTCAGTAAGTAACAAAGAATAACCCCTTTGTTTTTTTTTCATGTTTCCTTTAAAAAAATAGAGTATACTCAGATACCAAATAAGGTCAATGTCTTTTAATCAAAAGCCATTAACATTGCTCATGACGTAACACACTTGGATCTAGTTCATTTATTCTCAAGCTAGAGAGAGTAGAAAAAACAGTTCTGATACCAAAAATATTTTTAAAATATTTATGTGAATTGATGTTCTTATTGTTACTATAGCAACTAATAACATTCTAAGTAGACTTTCTTAGGCAGAATAATACTATATGCAGGGCTTTTTGTGTGTATCTCTTCCTTCTAAATAGCATAAATCCTATTTTTGTCATTTATATGTTGCTTACTATTGTAGTGTCCAGTGCAGAAGGTTGAATCTCTTCTTTAAAGCAGGTTCTCCATGACCTTAGCCCCTAGTTTGTCTGTGCCCAAGGAGCTCTGGATATTTGTCAGAGTGGCAAACTACAAAGGAGTAGTCTGGAGAATGTCTAGGCTACAGCATCCACATACCCACTAAGAGCACTTGGGAATATTTCTTTATTCATAATTGTGCTTTTTGCCAGTGAAAGGCATGCAAAATAGAACCTGTGATTTCTGATCAAGAGATTATCCCATTAAAATAGTCCCCAAACCCTCTGCTTACTTACTAAATGGATTTCATCACTATAATTATCATCTTTATTGACTACCTCATTGATTTTGTAGCCCTAATTTTTAATTAAGTTTTATGATGTCATTGTGGTATATGTACATTGAACTTTATAGGTTCTAGTACCCAGTTCTCAGTAGACTACCCTGTAAAAACATGTTGAATGAGTCATCTGTGTTTATTGTGAACCACAGTGATATATTCTGAGTTACTTGTCTTTATTTTCACCTATACAGTAAGAAAATGGTGATTTTGTATCTTGTGTGTAGTGGAACAGTATGAAAATGATACATATAACTTCAGCTTTTGTGATAATAAGGGTTACTTTGAGACAGAATGGTGATTTTAAAAAATTCTTTAATTATCTAATTTGTTCTTCATTATTGAAAATTTGAGTCAAAGCCCAGTTTTTTATAGTTTCTTCTTAAACAAGTGGCAAGATAAGTTTTTAAGGATAAAACAGATTTGAGTCTATTTGAAAGCAACAAGAGTGGCTATTTTAGAGCACTTGAAGTTAGCAGGTTAAAACATTAGGGAAATAGTTTTATTTGAAAAGTTGCTGTCAGCTAAGATGAATAAATTGCCACTTGTTTTTTGTTGTTTTTAGGTTAGACTCTGAGGGAATTGAGTTAATAACAAAGTTTCTTCAGGTAAGTTACATCTTACTTTGTAATCACTAAGCCTCAGTTTCTCTACATCTATAGAATGGGATCAATAATAACATGCTTAAGTATTTGTCATGATAGTTAAATAAGATTATTGTAGTATCTGGCATGCTTAAGGCATATGTGTAAGTAAAAAAATAATAAATGATGGTTTCTCTTAATGTGTATGGGTCTCTCATTGTGACTTAGAACTCTGAGGTAGTCACCTTCTGGCATTGATCAACTATGTCAGGGCCATGTTCTCTGCAATTCATAGTCTCTTAAGTTCTTTTTCTTTTCCTTATACTTAACAGCCTTACAGGCTGCTGCACCTACAAATACCATTTATATCTTCTATTCAAAGCAGTAAGAAGAGAGGATAAGGGTGTCAGCCATAATCGCCCACTTGTTTCTGGAAAGCAAAGGCTTTTCCAGAAACCCCTGCAAAGCTTCATCCTAAGTCTCATTGGCCAGAACATTAATTGTAAGAGAGGCTGGGAATTGCGAGCAAGATTATCATAGTTAGCCTAAACAAAAAACAGTCATGATTCATGATTAATCCGCTGGATTTGGAAGCATGGACCCCTTAAACAAATCTAGATTATCTCATCAAGGAAAAAAGGGAAATGCGTATCCAGTAGGTAATTTAATAATGTCTGTCATAAAAGTATTGGATATATTTCCAATGATCCTTTGGTGTTCATGAGGAAAAGGAATGCCAAAGGTCAGATATTTTAATTTTTTTTTATCACTTCAGAAAATACAGGGAATCTAAATTTTTAGTGAATATCCAGCTTCATCTTGGAAATTTGGAACTGAGATATAGTCATTACTACATAATCTCAATAGTAACTCACATTTGAGTATATCTGGTGTACTCCAAATTGGTTCTTAAAAAGCAGTCATTGTATTACAAATAAAAGTAGCTCTAAATGCTAATCTGCCTCCCCTCATAATGTTTAGAGAAAAAGTTAATGAAGCAGTTCTTTGCTTTTTCACAGTACGAATCTAAGAAAAGGGTTTCAGCAGAAGAGGCCATGAAACATGTATACTTTCGAAGTCTGGGACCAAGAATACATACTTTACCTGAAAGTAAGAGAAATTCTAAAGTCCGCCCCCCCCACCACCATTTTCATTTGTCCAGTATTGGAGACTGGGGTGAATTAGGGGTTTAGGAAGAGATTGTTGTTGGTTTTTAAGCATAAAATTTTAGTCTTTTTATAACCAGATCAGAATTCTTTGAAGGGAAGTGTTGATTTGCATATGTTTTCATTTTGTTTCTTTTTTTTTTTTTTAAGACTTATTTTAGAGAGAGTGAGTGAGAATGTTCCCCTGTGAGTAGGGGGAGGGGCAGAGGGAGAGAATCTTCGAGCAGACTTCCTGCTGAACTTGGAGCCCAAGTGGGGCTCGAGTAGGGCTTGACCTCACAACCTATGAGAACTTGACCCGAGCTGAAACCCAAGAGGCGGATGCCCAACTGACTGAGCCACCCAGGCACCCCCTTAATTTGTTTCTTTTAACACTGAACACATTGCCACTGCTCTGTAAGAAATCAGTAGTACTTAGGCATGGGTTATTAATCTTATTAGACTTAAATTGGAAAATGCCTTTTGATGATAGACGTTGTCATTAGGCCCATTCTAGGATTGCTTTGATTCAGAGTTTCTGAAAATGGATTTCAGGCAAAGAGTAATGAAACACAACCAAAACATAAAACTGTTTTCTTGTGAAAGTAGATTTCCTTTTCAAGATACAAAGATGATTTTTCTTTGCTATGGTCACTGACTTTATTATCCTCATGACAGTGGTGATTGTATTGTCAGTCACTAAAAGAGCTGATTTCTCATGTCTGAGTTAACTGCTTCATTTTACTCATAACCTTTTAAAAGATTACCCCAACATTTTACTTTAAAACTGAGTAAGGTGAATGGGGAATTAGAATATTTAGGAACTGGGATTCCAAAAGCTTTCATTAATTTCCCATTTCATTTACCACTAAAGAATATTAATTCATTGAGGTTTGCTAATTGGAATCAAGAATCTTTAAGACTTTTCACTTAGAACTTACCTGGATATTTTTTAATGAAAGACTACCTCTCTGGCAGAGATGGAAATGAGAAAGATGAATTACAGGTGTTTTTTAAGATGATATTTACATTTCATTATTAACACCAAGTTTCATAGTTTGAGGTAGGCAATTATGGTTGTGTACAAACCTATTGTTTTTTGTTTTTTTTTTTTCTGAAAATCTGCAGTTATTTTGAGGCCCTGATACCTTCTGCCATTATAAGGAGACATAAAGGACAGAGAGAATAAAAGTCAAGAAATATCTTTTGATTAGGTCTCCCAACCCCAGTAAGTCCTAGAAAGAGACAGTGTATATTCTCTATATGTACATATTTGAGGAGAAACATATTAGAAGCATTATTCAAAGCAGAGTTGCAGGGGAAGGTTTCTGAGGGGAGATTATTTTGTTTGGTTTCCTTCTCAAAACATTGGGGCAAAGGGGAAAATAGTTCAGTAGGGCTGTAACCTTGTAAATGTAGCATAAATGTTTCATGTTGAATCAATATACATTTTTTTCTCCTTAAATTTTTTTATTGTTATGTTAACATGTTCTGCGAATCAATATACATTTTTAAACATTCTGTGTGTAGTTGGGTTATATTTGTTTTAATAATGTTAGACCTTTACCTGACAGTTTTTGTCTATGCATTTTAGGTGTATCAATATTCAGTTTGAAAGAGATTCAGTTGCAAAAGGACCCGGGTTTTCGAAACTCTTCTTATCCAGAGACAGGTGTGTTTGTCATAAACCATTTCACGTGTCGATCATGAAATTTTGCGTGGAACCACGTTTTTGGTTTATAAATTGATCAGTAAAATTATTGATGTAAAAACCAATGTACAGTGCATTCCACAACTGTATGTTTAGCATTGCACGTACTCACTTTTCTGTATGATGTGGGCAGCTCAGTAATTCTTCAGAGAGAAATCTGACTCAGTCAAGTCAGGGATCCTGAAAGCTGCAGATGGCACAAAGACCTTTTACAAGTGGCCTGGCTTGATCACTGCACACGCCATCCCTGGTACCTGAGGCAGAAGACACACCTTGTGCTTCCCTAGTCTTCAGGTTCATCACTTCGAAGCATAGAAGCTATAGACTGACCCCATCAACAAAAGGGTCTTTAAGACAGTGCTGATCACTCTTATCGTGGAACATTAGTTTTTGCTGGTGGGAACATTAGCTTCCTAGAGTCACCAAATACTGTATGTGGGATAAAACTGAACCTTGAACTGCCTCATAAAATGACTTTATATTTTAGGACATGGGAAGAACAGAAGACAGAGCATGCTCTTTTAAGTCTGATAAAATGGTTTCAAGCCCAGCCCCCAGCCTTTCTTATCAATCAAGGACTCAGATCTGAAGGCAATTATTTCTTTTGGTGGACTTGGAATCTCCGTTTGTCTACACTGTCCTCTTCACAGTGGAGTCTTTTTATTTCAGACCTACAGATTGTTTTTATATTTGTTGTCACAGTGTGACAATTTTTTTGTACAGTTGGTTTTAAGGTCTTCTCTGCCATTAGAGCCAGTAGGTTACAGCTGTTGATGTAACTGTAGCTGCAATTTTTGTGCAGGACTAGAAACGCAGTGCATTATTTATTGCGGAATCATTGCTGCTAAATAACTACTGTCTGTTTATTTAACACAACAGTTAAATGCCTGAAGAAGTTGCAGTGGCTTTATTAGATGTGAATGCATCTGTTTCTCCTCACGAATTGTTTTACTGCTGCATTTCTTGTTTGTTTTAAAAATTAAACTGCAGTGTTTCCTGGAATGTAAATTTAGCTTTGCTTATTAACGGTAAAATAAGTGAGCCATCTTGAACACTCTAAGTTCATGCTATATAATTTTTTATTGAACATCCGCAAGTAGAGTAGCTAAGAAATTGATGAGCACATGTTTAGGAAAGCATGTGATGCAGAAGTTGATTCAAGCAAGTGAACACCTGACATTATAGGGATCTCACATTAGATACCAGTAAATTAAAGCACCAAAATTATTTATTTTTACCTTTCCTCATTTTAGAAATATTTACTGCATATTATTGGATATGTGTATACTAATACACTTACCTATTTTACATTGTGCTTTAATTTAGTTAAAACTAAACCATACAAGTCTATTGAAATATGTGAGGTCTTGTTTTCGTCTTAAATACGATTCTTTTATTAGAAGGGATGATACTTCTTTGGGGAGCCATTTATTTCATTTGGGGGGCTGCGTGTGTATATGTATGTTTTAATAACATTCACTTGGAATCAGCTAAAAGCTGTAATATGTCTTTGAAATGAGCCATGATAAATACAAATGAGAGAAACAAGAACTTAGAGGATTGTTTTAAAGCATTGTAGGTATTAACGTGTTTATCAGAGATAGTAAATATTACAGTTTCAATTATGCATCTCTTTGAACATCATAAACACACCTTGGTGTTGGTAAGTGTTTTAAGCATTTGTGTTAACTTTTAGGGACTATTTGTTCATTTAGTGCATCTTACGAACTACAAATCTTAATTGGTATATTTTGAAATGGTCATGTAAATTTTTGGCTTATATATCATGAAAATAATCATAACTTAATTTTTTTTTCCTGATATTCACTGTAAAACATTCAGGGGTCCTACCATTTCTGTTCAGGAAATCTTGTAGTTTATTGTTATTTAACAGTATTAAGTGAATTTTTGTATATTTCATTTTAACTTTATTTGTGAATAGTGATTGTGGCATGTTTGGGTGTTATTTTAATATTTCATGATACGGAAATTTTAATTTTTAAAAAAAATTTCTGGAAGAAACAGATTCATGTGTAATGGTGAATATTGGACCACTACTGCTTTTCACATTTGTAAATTGGTTTTATGTTAAATCCTGTAGCCTAACAAACTGCTGTTATTTCTAACTGACAGACCTGTATTAATATTGTACTTTGAAGGTTATAAATATTATGTGGAAATTCCTCCATTTTGTTTTGAAATTTATAATAAGATCTTCATGTTGTTAAAATGTGGTTTTGTTGAGTCATAGTTTTTTCTGGGGGAAGAAGGCTGTGCAAAATGGTATCATTTTCCTTTATGGGTTTCATTTTTAAGATCATGAAGTCTTACCGTGCCAGTAATGATATTTAATTTATATTTGTGCTGGCCTTTCATTTAGTAATCTCTACTGTAATTTTATAGGAGAGTACTCAATTATAAAGCTGTCAGATTTTTCATTTCATAGGTTAGATAAATGATGTTTTGCAAATTTCTTATAGTTATCTATAAGTTTGATATTCTTGCATATAAAAGGTGAAGAAATATATCCAGTAGTTATATAAAATTCTTCTTCCTAGGAAGTCCTAGGGATGTTTCTTCATTTTATTAAGGAATTTGATATTTTTTTTTGATACTTGAGCACCACCATTCAGATCCTGAAAACTTTGCAATGAAGAGAATTGAAACTCAGAAATTTTGAACCTTGAACACTTAGAATTCATCTTAAACTGACATGGTTTTAAAGGTAAGAGAGGATGCCTTTTTTGTTTTCCTTCCAAGTGATGTTGTTAACACACACTGAATATGTTGCTCTAGGTGTATAGAAGTGGCTCCATTCTATCTGATGCTTTATTGCATTTGAAAGACTACTTGTTAACATGTTTCATAATCTTATCTTTTGGATCCAGGACAATTCATAAAGTTGTTTTTTTGTATGCTTCTGTTTTTACTGTTTTGGTTTTTTTTAATTTGCCATTTTTATCCATTGTAAGTACACAATATAGTGGCATTAATTAGAGTGTTGTACAGCAATTACCACTATCTTTTTCCAAAAATTTCATCTCCAAACGCTATACCCATTAAGAAATCCTCCCTCATTTCCCCCTACCCACAGCCTCTGGTAACCTCTAATGTGTGGGCATAACTCATTTTACTATGCTGCACTTCATTGTGCTTTGCAGATACTGCATTTTTTAATAAATTGAAGTTTGTGGAAACCCTGACAGTGCCATTTTTCCAACTGCATTTGTTCACTTTGTGTCTCTGTGTCACATTTTGGTAATTCTCACAGTATTTCAAATTCTATTATTATTATATTTGTTATGGTGATTTGTGATGATCCTGGATACTACCACTATAATTGTTTTGGGGGTGCCACAAATCACACCCATGCAAGACAGTGAACTTAATTGATAAGTGTTGTATGTGTTCTGACTGCTCCACCAACAGGTTGTTCCTCCATCTCTCTCCCTCTCCTCAGGCCTCCCTATTCTCTGAGATGCAGTACTGAAATTAGGCCAATTAATAACCCTACAATGGCCTTTAATTATTAAAGTGAAAGGAAGAGTCACACATTTCTGAGATTAAATTAAAGCTAGAAATAATTTAAGCTTAGTCGGGAAGGTGTCAAAAGGCAACATAGGCTGAAAGCTAGGCCTCTTGCTCCAGTCAGCCAAGCTGTCAAATGCAAAGGAACAGTTCTTGAAGGAAATTAAAAGAGCTACTCCAATGAACACATAAATGATAGAGTGAAACAACCTTATTGCTGATACGGAGAAAGTTTTATTGATCTGGGTAGAAGATCAAATCAGCTACAACATTTCCTTAAGCCAAAACCTAATCCAGAACAAAGCCCTCTCTCTCTTCAGTTCTCTTAAAGAGGTGAAGAAGCTGCAGAAGAAAAGTTTGAAGCTAACAGAGGTTGGTTCATGAGGTTAAAGGAAAGAAGATGTCTGCATAAAATAAAAGTACAAGATGAAGCAGCAAGTTATCCAGAAGATCTAGCTAAGATAATTAATGAAAGTGGCTACATTAAACAGATTTTCAGTGTAGGCAAAATAGCTTTCTCTTGGAAGAAGATGCCATCTGGGTCTCTCATAGCTAGAAAGGAGAAGTCAGGGCCTGGCTTCAGAGTTTCAAAAGATGGACTAGGGTGCCTGGATGGCTCAGTTGGTTGAGCATCTGACTCTTGATTTTTGGCTCATGATCTCAGGGTTGTGGGATCAAGCCCTGCGTTGGCCTCCACACTTGGCGGAGAGTCTCCTTCTCTCTCCCTCTCTTTCTCCCCCCTGCCGAAATAAATAAATCTTTAAAAAAGACTCTCTTATTAGACACTAATGCAGCTGATGACTGTAAGTTGAAGCCAGTGCTCATTGACCATACTGAAAACCCTAAGGCCCTTAAGAATTATGCTAAATCTACTCTCGCTGTGCTCTGTCAGTGAAACAACAAAGCCTGGATGAGAGCACATCTCTATATAGCATGATTTACTGAATATTTTAAGCCTACTGTTCAGGAAAAAGGTTTTCAAAATACTATTATTGTTCATTGACAATGCACCTGATCACCCAGGAGCTCTGATGGAGATGGACAACCAAGATTAATGTTGTTTTCATGCCTGCTAACACAACATCTGCTCTGGAGCCCATTGATCAAGGAGTAGTTTTGACTTTCAAGTCTTATTCTTTAAGAAATACATTTCATGGGGCACCTGGGTGGCTCAGTCGTTAAGCATCTGCCTTCGGCTCAGGTCATGATCCCAGAGTCCTGGGATCAAGCCCGTATCGGGCCTCATCCCAGAGTCCTGGGATCAAGCCCGTATCGGGCCTCCCTGCTCAGCAGGGAGTCTGCTTCTCCCTCTCCCTCTCTCAAATAAGTAAAATCTTAAAAAACAAAAATACATCTCAAAAGCTATAGTTGCCATAGTAGTGATTCCTCTGATGGATCTGGGCAAAGTAAATTGAAAACCTTCTGGAAAGGATTCACCATTCTAGGTGCCACTAAGAACATGTATGATTCATGGGAAGAGGCCAAAATATCAACATTAACAGGAATTTGATAGAAGCTAATTCCAAGACTTGAGCAGAAGTAACTGCTGTGGTGGAAATCGTAAGAGAACTAGAATTAGAAGTGGAGCCTGAAGATGTGACTGAATTGCTGCAATTTCATGATAAAACTTGTAATGATAAGAAGTTGCTTCTTATGGATGAGCAAAGGGGTTTCTTGAGATGGAATCTACTCCTGGTAAAGATGCTGTGAAGATTGTTGAAGTGACAGCAGAAGATTTAGAATATCACATAAAAAAATTTAGTTGATGAAGCAATATCAGGGATTAAGATGACTCCAATTTGAAAGAAGTTCTGTGGGTAAATTGCTATCAAATAGCATGAAAGGACTCTTCCATCATTTCCACAGACTTTGTTGTCTTATTTTAAGAAATTTCCACAGCCACTCCAGCCTTCAGCAACTACTACCCTGATCAGTCAGCAGCTATCAACATCAAGGCAAGACCCTCCACCAGCAAAAGGACTGTTGACACACCAAAAGCTCAGACGGGTTAGCATTTTTTTAACAATAAAGAATTTTTTTTCCCCACAAAAGTATGTACTTTTTCTTAGTGTTATTGCACACTTAATAGACTGCAGTATAGCATAAACATAATTTTTACATGCACTAGGAAACCAAAAAATTCATTTGGCTCACTTTATTACGGTATTTGCTTTATTGCAATGGTCCGGAACTGGACATGCAATATCTCCAAGATATGCCTGTAATTTTTCTTTTAAGTTTTCTTTTTATTTATTTACTTAAGTATATCTCTGTGCCCAACATGGGGCTTGAAATCACAACCCTGAGATCAAGAGTCGCATGCCCTTCCAACTGAGCCAGCCAGGCACCCCTGGTATGCCTGTACTTCTTGTGTCTGAATTTGCCTATTGTAGGTATTTCATGTAAGTGGAGTTGTACCATAGTGGTGTCTGGCTTATTTCATTCACTTAGAATGATGTTTTCAAGTTTTATCCATGTTGTAGCATGTATCAGAATTTTTTTTTCTTTTCATGGCTGAATAATATTCTTCAAATGTACATTTTGTTTAAACATTTATCTGTTGATTTCACATGAGCTTTTTTTCCACTTCTTGACTTTTGTGAATAATGCTGCTATGAACATGGGTGTGCAAGCATCTATTTGGGTCCTTTTTTTCAATTCTTTTGAGTTTATATACATAGGAGTTGGAATTGTTGGGTCATTTAGTAATTCTATGTTTACCTTTTTGAGGAACCATCAAATGATTGTCCATGGCAACTGCAGCATTCTACATTCCCAGCAGTAATGTATGAGAGTTCTAATTTCTCATCCTCGCCAACACTTATTTTCCTTTTTTTAAAAAATTATACTCATTTTAATACTTATGACACGGTAGCTCATTGTGGTTTTGATTTGCATTTCCCTAGTGAGTAGGATATTGAGCATCTTTAAAATGTGCTTGTTGGCCATTTGTATATCTGGTTTGGAGAAGAGTCTGTTCAAGTCCTTTGCCCATTTTTAAACTGTTGTTGCTGAGTTGGGTTGTTTTAAGCTATAGTTCTGTACATATTCATTTTTTTTTTAAGATTTATTTTAGAGCGCATACGAGGAGGGGGAGGGGCAGAGGGAGAGGGAGAGAATCCCAAGCAGACTCCCTGCTGAACATGGAGCCTGATGAGAGGCTCGATCTCATGACCATGACATCATGACCTGAGCTGAAATCAAGAGTCAGACGCTTAACCGAGTCACCGAGGCGCTCCTCTTTATATATTCTAGATATTAGACACATATGAGGTATATGACTTGTAGTTATTTTTTCCATTCTGTGGGTTGTCTTTTACTTTCTTGATGGTGTCCTTTTAATACATAAAATTGCTCATTTTAAAGACATCCAATATATCTTTTTTTTTTTTTTACTTGTGGTCTTGGTGGCATATTTAAGAAACTGCCAAATTTAAGGTCATGAATATTTTCCCCTATTTAAGAGTTTTATTGTTTTAATGCTTACATTTAGGTAATCTGTTTTAATTTTTGGTCCATCTTGGGTTTTTTTTTTTTAAAGATTTTATTTATTTGACAAATAGAGAGCACAAATAGGCAGAGGGAAAGGGAGAAGCAGGCTCTCCGCTGAGCGGGGAGCTGGATGTGGGGCTCGATCCCAGGACCCCAGGATCATGACCCGAGCCGAAGGTAGCCGCTTAACCAACTGAGCCACCCAGGCACCCCGGGTTAATTTTCGTATGTGGTGTAAAGTAACTTCATTCTTTTGCATGTGAATGTCTAGTTTTCCCAACACTGTTTGTTAAAAAGATTGTCCTTTTCTCAAAATGGTCTTGGCACCCTTGTTACAAATCAGTTGGCCATAAATGTGAGTTTATTTTGGGGCTCTTGATTCTGTTTTATTGGTCTACATTTCTCTTTTTCTGCCAGTACGTTTTGATTACTTGTAGCTTTGTAAGTTTTGAAATCAAGAAGTGAGTCCTCCAACTTTGTTCTTTTTCATGATTGTTTTGGTTGTTCAGGGTCCCTTGAAATTCCATTTAAATTTTAAGATGGGGTTTTTCTATTTCTCAGGAAATATGCCATTAGGATTGTGATAAGAATTGCATTGAATCTGTAGATTTTTTTTTTAAGATTTTTTATTTATTCATGAGAGAGAGGTAGAGGGAGAAGCAGACTCCCCGAGGAGCAGGGAGCCTGATGCAGGACTCGATCCCAGGACCCCAGGATCATGACCTGAGCCGAAGGCAGATGCCCAACCATCTGAGCTACCCAGGCACCCTGAATCTGTAGATTCTTTGTGAGTATTGGGATTTCCAGTCCATGAATGCAGGATAGCTTTAATTTCTTTTAGCAATGTTTTGTAGTTTTTCAGTGTACAAGTCTTGTGCCTCCTTAAATTCATTCCTAAGTATTTTATTCTTTTTGATGTTATTGTAGGTGGAATTATTTTCTAAATTTCTTTTTTGAGTTTTTCATTTGCTAGTGTGTAGAAATAGAAATGATTTTTGTGTTGATTTTGTATCCTATAATTTTGCTGACTTTATTTTTTTTGTGGATTCTTTAAGGTTTTCTACATATAAGACCATGTCATCTGAATAGAGATAGCTTTACTTTATTACTTGAATTTATTTTTTTTTTGCCTAATTACTTTGGTTAGGACTTTCAGTCTTTCACCATTGAGTATGGTGTTAGTTGCAGCTGAAAGAATAAATGATAATTTGTTTCTTCTCTTCCTCCTCACCTACCCCTATTTCAATATAGAATGATTGGTAGACCTTAAGATTTAAAAGATCAGAGGACCACTTTTCAAACCCATTCTCCCCCACTTCCTCCCCTAAGTCAACCTCAGTAATTGTTTCCTTAAATATCTTTTTAAAGCAGATTTTATATATACATATATGTATAAAATATATGTAATATGTTTTGATGTATCATATTTAAGGCTAGATGACAAGACTTATTTTCCAACTGTACCCATATAGAGAAGTAAAATTTGGATCATCCCAAGTAAATGGAAGTAAACCAACCCACTTGCCTCCTCACACCTTTTATCACAAAGTATTTATTGAACAAAAATAATAAAATTGATACATATATGAACATGAATGAAGATATGCATCATAGAAAAGATGTGTACAAAGAGAACAACGTTTAGGTTATAGTTCTATAAAACCTTAGCCATAGCAGATTAACACTGATGAAGCAGACATATAAAAAGGAAAAAAAGTTATTTAATATGTCCTTTGAAACCTATTTTCTGACTAAAATTGTTAAAATACACATGCACACACAGAATGAGGCAGGGCTATAAGAGTTATACTTCAATACCTCCAGTTCTGTATTTGTGTCCTAGTGAGTTTTTTGATCCATAAAATGTATGGCGTTTTTCCATTTCTAAAAACGGAGCTAGAATGTATGTCAATCATAGTATGTCAAGGAAGGAAGTACAAGAATCGGATTTATAGTCATTAGAGTATTTCCAATCAGCATATACATTTAAAAATATTTTGGGTTGAGATTTTTGTACATTGATTAACTTCCTTTGGTTTATGTGGTTTTTTTCTACCTAACAGATTTGGGCCAGTAGTTACTTATAGTTAGGCATGGGAAAACAGAACTGGACTGAGCACCAATCATTGTTCTACCTTTAATGAGCCGTGTGACCTTAGGCAACTCCCAGTTGCTTCTGTGTAATTGCCTTATCTGGAAACCGTGGTAAGAAGCATTCTCAAAGGCCCCCTCTACCTTTAACATTTCATGTTTGGTAAATATCAGTTCCCTGTACCAGCTATTTTATTTTAGTACAGAATTCTCCTCAGCTTACGTGAAAGTGACAGTAGTGTCTGGATTTTGGAATTTACTTTATATCCAAAAGTGTATATTAGAGATTTGTACCTCCCCATACACAGAGACAATTCCAATGGAAAATCTCAAGATTTTAAGCATTATAACAAAGTTTTAGAGTCTTTGAAAACTCAAGAGATGTTTGCTTTTACAAGCTTTATTTTTTACCCCTTTTTCATAATCTTGCCATTTAACACCTAATGTGGAATCAGTTATTTGGCATTTCAAATTGGTTTGTTACTTACAGTTAAGGATGATAATCTGATCTTGAAAGCACTGGGCACTTTCCAGTTTTCTTCACATTAGAACTTTGCTACTTCATGTACAGAACAATGCCTTAGAGTGGCCCCTGCTGTTTTTGTTACCACTGCTTTACACTACGCAGAAGAATTTACTGCTGAGTGCTCCAGATGTAGTAGTTCAGTTCCACAGTGAGGTTCCTGAAGAGTTATATATTTCTTATATCCAATTTCCTTCATTCTCACCATAAACTTAGTTAATACATAAAGCAGTGTATCCTACCTGTGTCCACAAACAAGGCTATGCCTTATACACCTGAAGATACCTGATGTTACAGAATTGTTGTGTTCATCAACCAGTCTGTGAGCCTCTTCATAGGATGTTTAAATGTTAATTATAGTTCTAGGGGTTTAGTGAAACCCTAACTAACTCATGATGATACAGGAAATGTATCAGGGGTGTGATTCGCTGTGGAAAACTGGGAGAACTACAGCTAATTTTTTGAAATAAGAATATGCTTACATAGGAGATATTCCAAGGGAATGGGTAGAGTGAACTTGATGTAGATTTCCATCTCAGGTTTTTGTTTGGGAGGAATCTAAAAGATTGTAAACAGCTAGGTGGCTAGCCTTTCAAACTTCATTTTTTAAAAAATGCACTTTAGAACATTTTCTTTTGTGAATGTTTATTTTCTAAATATGGCTTAGTTTCTTTTATAAAAACATGAAATTGGACATTTACTGAACTTCAGTTCAAAAGAGGTTCTAAGGCAATTCTTATACAATTGAAAGCGAAAAAGAAAAATATGGATAAGCTTTCATTTTGCCTACTTGTGAAAAATAATGATTCTACTAGAGAGCTGTTTGATACTAATTTTTGTCTTCCAAACATTTTCTCTTAATACTAAAAAATATATAAACCATTTACATAAAACTAAATGCAAAGGAAGGCACAGCTGGTTATAGTGTCTATAAGCATAGTTCAGCATATGCGGAATTAGAAAGAAAAAAAGCTTCACATCCTTATTAGTTACACTGAAAACCATTAAGAAAAGTTCTTCACTGTCAACAGTGTTCAACACTTAAGAGCTAAGAGAATATAAAAAAAACATTAAAAAATCACTTAATGCCAAACAGATCTTCATATATACTTGAATATAAAAAAAGGTTTTAAAAATGCTAACATAAATCTAGACCATCCATGTTATGAAAAGTGCAAACCAAATTAACAGGGTTTCACAACGTCCTTCTCATGACACAGGTAAACTAGCCCATGGGGACAAATTTATTTCATCAGTTAATAAGTCTTTAACTGTGGCCAGATGTCATCAGGATTTCTGAGAGTTCGAAGAAAGCAGTACTGGAGAAGCAGCTCTATCCAGACTGGGGATTGGCACTGGCATGTGGCCGTTAAGCAGTGTTGGAAACTGTAGGGGACAGAAGATTTTTAAAATAATTATTGCAGACCCATTGGGACAAACTTGAATTCTTTACATTCCTAGACAGAAGACAGACCATAGTGGATCACCCTTGGGACAGAGAGGTTGCAAATTATTTTACAGAATGAGATCAAGGTTACATATAGCAAACAAGGGAGAAGGCCCAGAAAATGTCCCTATTTTATATGCCTAGCCACTAGAAAAAAATGTACCTATGGTGCTAAAGCATGTTCAAATACTCCTTTTAAAAGGTTCCAAGCTACTTAGAATGCTGATTTGCTTTAAAGTAATTTTGAAAACCACAGACAACTGACTCTACTGATTCACACGTAAAATTTCTAATACTATATTTTGAAAATGGCCAATTGTTTTTCCAGAGTAAGAAAAACTGCTAAAAATGAAGAATGTTTTAGCTTAAAAGACTTAGAAAGCAAGAATATATCTTGGAGCTGAGGAAATTTTTTTTTTTTTAAATTACAATGATAATACCAAACTAATAGATCTCCTTTAAGTGACAAAACAAAGAGTAAAGTTAATTTCTGTAGTGTGGGTAAATAAGATGATAAATGGGATAAAAGTATATGCTTTGATAACTTTCAGGTCTAAAAGAAATACCACACTATACTCCCAACTCAACAAGAATAATTAAAGGCCTCCTTTTAATACATTACTATTCACAACTAGATTTTTGTTGTCTAGATTGGTATGTGTCAAAATGATCTCCTGGGCTATCTTCCAGTTTAATTTCTATTTAGATAAGTTAATATTAAATTTCAACACTAAATATCAAACTACAGAGCCTAGCACAAGTTAGAAGTACAATAAATACAGAATATATTTTTTCAATTTTCAAACTGTTTCAGTAACTGTTATGTGTAGTGCCTTACAGTTTATCAGTGGTTGTCATTTCAGTTGGTATCTAGAAGCCTGTAAAGTAAGTTTGGTTATCCCCATTTTATAGAAAACAGAATTCAAATAACTTCTGATTGGTTAAAGACTAATAGGCAATAAAGCCAAGTTTTAAACTCTGAAAGATCCTGCGCTTTTTGTACCAAACTGCCCAACTTATTTTTGGCAGGGCTTGGTGTGAGTGTGCTCTTTAAATACTATTTCAGTTTCTTTAATGGTCATTGGCATATTCAAGGTTTTTGTTTCTTTTCTGACACTTTGGAACTTGAGTTGTTTGTAGAATTTTATCCATTTCAACTGGGTTATCAAATCTATTTGCATATAGTTTATTAAGATCCACGCTCCTAACTACTATTCCCATTGACTTAAGAGTGAACACAGAATGAAGAGCAGGTTTTGAATTTTCATTCTCCTAGCTTATTTGCAATTTTTTCTCATTTTGTTTTTTGACCATCTTATTGGTGTTTTCAAAAGAAGCAGCTTTTGGTTTTGTTAATCTTCCTGTTTTAAAAAGTATATTATTGATTTCTGCCCTCTGCTCTTTATTTCTATACACTCAGTTGTAGTTTCTCTTGCCTGGCTTTTCTGGCCTGTTTCATCTTTATTGACTCCCCACCTCCACCCGCTTAAGTTGCAACATTCCCCCCAAAGTTTTGTTTTCAGCCTTCCTTTCTCCTATACTCAACAATCCTTTCTTGCTGTTAGCTAGATGTCCCCATCAGTGCGTCTTCACCAAAAACCTGTTATTCCGTGTTCACTCTGAAGTCGGTTAGAGTGGTGATACGAGCAGGACCCTAAACTTCAGTCAGGGCTCTGCCACTTATGAACATGTGGTCTTGGGTAAACTGAGCAACATCTCTGGGCCTTAGTTTCCTTATCTTTTCAAAAAGAACTACTGGGAGTACAGTTGACTCTTGAGCAACACAGGTGTGCAGATTTTTTTTTCAATAAACACAGTATAGTACTACAAATATATTTTCCTTGCAATTTTCTTTAACCTAGCTTACTTTATTGTAAGAATACAGCATAATAATACATATAACATGCAAAATGTGTTAATCAACTGTTATCAGAAAGGTTTCCGGTCAACATTAGGCTATTAGTAATTAAGTTTTTAAAGAGTCAAAAGTTATACATTGGATTTTCAACTGTAAGGGGGAGGTCAGCACCCCGAATCCCCACTTTGTTCAAGGGTCAAATGTATTAAATGAGAAGCCATGAAGAGTGCTTTGAACGACGTCTAGCATACAGTAGCCCTCAATAAATGTTAACTTCTTACTTATAGCATTTCTAGTCTTTTAATCACATAAGTAATCTTTGCCTCTTCCTAATTTTCACTACCTCTTACTCCTCAAACCCAACTAAAAGTCTCTCAATTTTACCTCTGGAATGTCTTCTAAATATATTCCTATTTCTACTATTCTAAAAGATTATTTTTCCCTCAGTATTTGCAGTAGTATAAATATTCCTCCTATCTTCCTGCACCTTATACTTTCTGCTTTCTCTTCAGTTCTTCCTCCACACTGGTATCAGCAATATCTTCCTAAAATAGAGATTTTAGGGGCGCCTAGGTGGCTCAGTCGGTTAAGCATCTGCTTTCTGCTCAGGTCATGATCCCAAGGTGTGTCAGGCTCCCTGCTCAGTGGGGAATCTGCTTCTTCCTCTCTCAAATAAATTAAAAATCTAAAAAAAATAGTATAATTAAATCTGTTCTTTTATATCCAGCTTAGAAAACCTTCCATGGTTATCAAGAGACTAAGGTGGAAAACCCTGAGCATAGCTTTCAAGGCCTACACAGCCACTCTTCTAATCACCCAGTCCCTTCCTGGACAGACTATGCACTTGCATATCCAAATCATGGAGATTATCTAGAAGGTGCTTTTCTCTCTGCCAAAACCCTGTCCTTTCTTACCAGCTCAGGTGCCACGTCTTCCGGCGGAGCCTTCATCTAGTCCCTAGCTAGAAAGCTATTCCCTGTTGGGTTCCTATAACCTTTTGTTTATATATCTATTATTCCCATAGTGCATATTCCCCTACAGTCCCTGATAACAGAGCACTGCAAATATTTTCTGGGTTAGATTCATTGGATTAAAACATTCAGAAAACATCCTCAATTGAAAACTTAATTCTGGGTGCCTCAGTCGGTTGGGCATCTGCCTTCAGCTCAGGTCATGATCCTAGGGTCCTGGGACTGAGCCCCACAGAGAGCTCCCTGCTCAGTGGGGAGCCTGCTTCTCCCTCTGCCATTCACCCTGCTTATGCTCTCTGGCTCTCTCTGTCAAGTAAATCAAATCTTAAAAAAAAAAAAATTAATCCTGCCTTGTTTCAAGATATTATCTGTACCTATGCCAAATTTGATGAAAATCTGTTTCAGAAGTGGAACAGACACCCTGTAGATAAGCTCAAAATGCCAAACTGTTCAGACCCATCTCATTTTATTTTTAAATATACCTCTTCCAGAAAGGCGCTAATATCTTCTCTCTCCTTCCCTTAAATTCTTCAGTATCTGCTGTAAGTTGCCACAGTGATTATATCAGTGGACCTTCTGTGCAAAAAGTCCTCAGCTCTGTCAACTGTTACCGAAAGGATTCTGATCTACTTTTCAATCCTGACAACAGGAAATTTGCCAGCATCATTTAAAACTTATTGTAGCCCCAATGTATTTCTTTTCTTCCTCAATGTCTAGTATATATGAAAGGTTTATTTTTAAAGAAAATTATTAGTTCAAAAGGGGCACTGCTGATAATCTGAATTTTGAATATTCCTCTTACCATGTTTTATTTACTATTTTCAAAACTGCTAGTTTCAACTATCACAACTGCTCTTACATAGGAAGAGTAATGTTTTAAAAGGTACAAAGTTGTTTTTCCTTAGTTTCATGGACCCCAGTCACAGAAAGAGGGCACAAGGCCCTGCCAACAACGATCTAAACATGATTGTTTTCCCCATTTCTACCTCCCATTTGTGGTTTTTGTTGTTGTTTTTGGATGGCTCTGGTAGAGAGGACAGGTACATTGTGAATTTAAAATTCTGAGTAGGTGGCCTTTAAATGCAGCAATTTCTTCTGAAGAATTCTAGTTATAAATTAGGAACCACTGGTCTGCTGTGGTTCTCAAAGTAGATTCCTGGAGTAACAGCATCACTAGGATCTTGAAGAAATGTTATTATCAGGCCCCAATCCCACACCTTCTAAATCAGAAACTCTGGGGTTGGGGCCCAGCAGAATCTTTTAACATACCGTCCAAGCTGATTCTGTTGCACGTTACCTTTGAGAGCCACTGGTCTACAGTAGTGACTGAAGAAAAAAGGGTATGTGTGTCCAACACCCAGAGCTCCAAATATCCTGCTAATGTGTACAATCACTATGGACACGAACCATTACTGTGAGGAGTGATAGGCTGGAAAAGGTTTAGTATCCACAGCAAGGGATCCCAAAGAACTCCCTAACAGCAGTTCTCCATGGCTTCCTTGAGAGATCACCAAGCCTTGTATCAATCAGGTGGCAGAATTCCCAGTAAGGAGGGAAGTGAGATTCCATTCTTTATTCACAAATATCTAGTGAACCCTCCAGAGACCGTGTTAGATTCTAGGACTAAAGTAATAGTGCAGTCCCTGTGCCCATAGAGCTTACCATACACAAGGCACCAAACAACTGCTCTCCTCAGGAGCTCTAATACTAGAATACTGCTGCTCCATTGTGAATACTCTGAGGAAATAAGGTCTTTCAGCTCTCCACCAAAAGAGTACTAACCTAAAACTTTTCCTAGTACTACATTTGCTCACTGCTTCTAGTTTTTTTACTTCCCTGCCAGAGTTTAAGGGCTGAGAATCAACATGTTGGCTGTGCATGACCATAGCTCAATTTTCTTGTGATGAGAAGATGGGCCAGAAGAGAAACCTGATTACCTAGGGATATACAGTCACATCATGACAACCCTACCTCAACCTTACTAGGAACCAGAGAAGCAAGATAGCAATGAGAAGCAAGATAGCAATCAAAACCTCTTTAGCTCTACCCTTCTTCCGAGACCCTAAATCCCAGCATGTATAGCTCCTGGCACAGAGTTCAATACCAACCTTTACAAGCAAAATGACCAACTCAAAAAAGCACAGAGACCTGATCTTTTTAACACTTAGGTTCTTAAATTATATTTCTTGTCTTGTCTTTTTCTTTTTAAAGTAACCTCTACAACAGACATGGGGTCGAACTCATGACCCTGTGATCAAGAGTCACGTGTTCTCAGGGGCGCCTGGGTGGCTCAGTCGTTAAGCATCTGCCTTTGGCTCAGGTCATGGTCCTGGGGTCCTGGGATCGAGTCCCACATCAGGCTCCCTGCTCAGCGGGAAGCCTGCTTCTCCCTCTCCCATTCCCCCTGCTTGTGTTCCCTCTGTCACTGTGTCTCTGTCAAATAAATAAAATCTTTCAAAAAAAAAAAGTCACGTGCTCTACAAACTGAGCCAGCCAGGTGCCCCAATTCCTTGGTGAATTCTTAGGTACCCACTCATTTAGTCAGTGATAATTACTGAGCATTATTTGTATGCCAAGCAATGTGGCCAGACATGGGGTGGGGGAATGGGCACCACAGTAAACAAGAAACAAGATGTAGTTCTGGCCTCTTGAGGACCCACAGTCTAGTGGAGGAGACTGCCAGGTGAACAGGCCATCATAATACAAAGTGGTCAGTGCTAGATGCAACAGGGACAAAAGAACAACGAGCTTGGGTGAGCCACACTGGAGGGCAGGCGTGGGATTCAGGGTAGATGAGACATGCTAGAGTTAGAGAGGGTTTTCGCTTGCCCCAGTTTTGCTTCACTCCTGTCCCTAGGACCCTTTCTATTTTTCTCTTAGTAACATCTTTGTGAGGAACAGTCTTCACGTCTCAAAGAAGAAATACTGATTACCACATGATTGCAAGCAGTGCTACCGCAAGATTCTAGTGTGTGAATGAATAATAAATGTGCCTACCTAGTAACAGGAGTTGTGCAGGATAAAGCAGCTAAGACTTAGTTTTTAACCAAATGCCCTGGACACTCCTTTCTTATTATGGAACAAGGAGAACTTGATTATGATTCATAGGATTATACAGATAACTTTTCTATTACAGTACGGACATTCTTCACTATTTTTGTTTTTCAGTTTATTTCAAGTGATATCAATATGTTGCCTAATTTTCTAAAGTCCCTTTTCCTTAATAACTTTCCAGTTTTCATAGTCAATGAAGATAGCCAAGCACTTCGAGAATTAATTGTTCCATTTGTTGATATCTGACATGAATATGCCATTTCTGCCTTGATGAAAATGTCTCCCTCTGAAGGCTGGGTTTTGCAGCACCATTAACTCCCTTTGGAAACTTAATATTTTAACCAAATGTAGGGTAGAACTCTGTTACCTCTGCAGTATTTATTGGGGAAACACACCCCTTAGAAGCTCAGTGTTTAAACATTCATTTCTAAATGCTCACCTGGAACAGCGTGTTTGGCCCTTGCAACCGGGCAGGACTCAGTGGAGCAACTGGACTAAGGCTGCTCCAGAAATGTATGCTGGATAGCAGTGGACTCGGGGTCAGAAGCAATCCATTTGGTGTCTGGGAAAGAAAGCACATACACAGATTTTGATAAAGATATCACCTGATTCTGAGCAGTGTGGCTAGGTACACCAGCCATGAACCAAGAAACAAGCCTTACCATCTTAGTAAAATCTGACAACTATGTAATTTCTGCAAGGCTGTGCACAGTTTAACTTTCTTCAATGCTGATTGTATTGTATTAGCAACTTTATAAAGGAGAAAAGTATGGACAAGTTACCTTCCCTAAACATTCTAAACATTGTAAAACTCAAGTTTACAGCAACATTCATCCAGGTGGTTTTTTCAATTTGTTTTCCTTCCCACATTAAACAAGATTTAGTGTACAAAATGGGATTCCCTGACGGGGCTTTATTTTTTTTATCAATATTTTATTTTCCTACACTGGATATCCATTACAAACACACATTGTTTTAAAGGGCCTCTCAAACTTCACTTTCATGGTTATCAATGGCCCTTTAAGATTTTAGGATCTGGGGGCGCCTGGGTGGCTCAGCTGGTTAAGCAACTGCCTTTGGCTCAGGTCATGATCCTGGAGTCCCAGGATCAAGTCAGGAAGTCTGCTTCTCCCTCTGACCCTCCCCCCTCTCATGCTCTCTCTCCCATTCTCTCTCTCAAATAAATAAAATCTTAAAAAAAAAAAAAAAAGATTTTAGGATCTGTTGTTAAAATACTCTGTAGCAGCTTCTTCAAAAGTTCTGAACTGGGTTTTCCAGATTCCACTCCGGATATGGGGCTGATGAGAATTCATCTCCCTGGCAATGGTTTGGAGGGGGGAAAAAATTCTTTCTTGTTAGATTGGGTGTAAAGCCAAAACTCTGTGTTTCCCAGGAGAGTGCCAAGGACTGCATTTGCTTGCACACACACAGCAGGAATCCTGGCCTGCAAGCTAGCTAGAGGACAGAAGAAACAACTCGCCCCAGCTGGTATGTCTGCATGGCTTTTATTCTCAGCTGAGGCAAACTCCCTGGCCCATGGTGGTTTTGCACCTTTGCTGACTAGAAGGAGCCCCACAGTGGTTTTGTGATGTCAATAAGGTGCTTTGTGTAAGAAGAACCACAGCAAAGGCGCCAGCATTGCACATTGCATCACTTTGGATGCTAAAGTGTTATTTTTTCCTAGAATTGGCACCAGCAGCTTCGTTAATTATCGAGAATATCTGGCATAAACCTAAGTTGAAAGGTCTGCTCTGTTCAGCGGAAAGGAGACAAACATCCAAAGGTTCTCAAACTGTGAAGCTGCTGAAAGGTAAACTAATTTATACCATCTTGAGTCTTTGGTTCCACAGCATTTCCTACACGTGGAATGACCTATGAGGTGACTAGGATAAATACATGTTTTGGATAAGGTTCCCACTTCTAATCCAAGGCAGTTTCACAAATATGCCGGGCCATCTGGTCTGGCGATTAAGACTTAATGGTTCAGCATGGGCTCTGCCAGGGTTCCAACCTCAGAACCACTACTTAACTACCTATGCCTCCGTTTCCAAATCTATAAAATGGGGAGGAAAAACTGCCTACCTTATAGGATTGCTGGAAGATGAAATAAGATGATTTCTGTAGAGCTCTTAATATGTGCCTGGCACACAGCAAATGCTCAAGAAGTGTTAGTCACAAGTGTACCCGATATACTTATTCAGTGAATTTCATCTGTTCATGGGAGTAATTCTCAATGCATGTATAAAAGTACTCCGTGTTCTGAAACCAATCAAGTCCGCCAGTACCTTCAAGGCTCCTCTTAGTCATATTAGGCTCAAGTCCACAAACTCAGGTCATCTGAGAACTAACATATTTGGACGTTACTCTGGAACCAAATTCCAGCCACAGTATGCAAGTTAACGTTCAAAAACCAGTGTGTTCAGGGCCTCCTAGTTTACCTACCAATGAAGGTCCCAAAGCTCTTAAACAAAAAGTCTTCTAGTCTACAAAACCTATCTTTCTCTTATTTGTGGCCATAAATATACACCCACTCCGTTTTAATCCTTTGAGCAATACATGGAAGTGTAGAAGTTTTATTTTAGTCTAAAATGTGCACCCAGGTCTGAATGTGAGATGTTTGCACATCTGTTTCAAAGGGATACAGGACATACTCAGAATACAGTAGTCTTCTGTTTCACATGTTTAATCATTTGGAATATCTTTTATAACATATGCAAATAAATATTGTGAAATGACTTCATTCGCTCTTCTCTCCCCCATCCCTGTTCTCCCTGAAGATCCTATGGCTGTAAAGAAAAAACCGTTTGGTTGCTCTTTGAAGGAATGTTCCTATTAATGCTCACCCTGGGTAATCTCCAGTACAGTGTGAGTTTTCAGAGCCTCTTTCCACAATCTCCTGGAGTCAGGCAAGGTGGGCTGAGCCTGAGGGCTAGACACTAAAGAAAGAAGCCACAAGCAAAATGCACGCTTCCTCTCCCTTCACCAGAAAATATTTTAGCAAATGGGCCCTTTTGAATGGCAGACAGGGAGTTCCTGACCCCTTCAGCTGCATGAAGCAGATGCCCTAGGACCTGAGGCAAAGGACATTGATGTTCAAGGAGAAAGACCGTCCAACCAGGATCTTTGTCATCCCCCTCAACTCACTTCTTCTTCCACATAATACAGTCTCCTACAAAGCCTGCACATTTGAGCTAAACCTGGTGAGCTGGCATTGCCCGGACATGCCCCACCTGAGTGCCCTGGTTCATGGCCCTCTGCCTGTACCATGCCCTCAGACCCCCTCCTCCTTCCTACCCCTGCCTCCCTCTGCCCATCAAAATCCCACCTCCTCAAAGGAGACTTTTCTGCTTTTCCCTCTTTTTCCTGAATCTTTATAACACTTTATAACCACTTTTTCCTTAACATTTGCTGCCTCATATTATGGTAATTTTCATATTCTTCTTATACCTCATTCAGTAGCCTTCAAGGTATCTTGTTCATCTGTATTCCTCCTATAAGTACCCAGTTTCTAAATACTTGATGAGCTGAAGCAATCTGTAGCTCTAGGTACATCCCCTCACATGTCACCTCTTGGATATGTCCACTTGGAATGCCCCACATGTTCAAACTAGAACTCACCTTCTTTCCAAGTCTAGTATTTCTTATGACTCCTCCATTTCTGTCAACAATACCACCCATTTATCCACTCAAGAGATACTGAATGCATGATATGTATCAGGTGCCAGAGATACAATGATAAAACAAGACATGATCCCTGGACTTACAGCCCTGTCTACAACCCAGCATCCTCATCACTGTGATGCAAAATTACTTCCCACTTGCTACAATCTCTGGGCATGGTCTGTGTGGATCCTCCTTTGAACTGACTCTTATTTCCCCATTTCCTTTCCTGCTGCATTCAAGGCCCCATCACCTTAGAGATGGCATTCAATAAATGCCATTAAACCAGCCACATACTTCTGGCCCCTCTTCCAATCTATTCTGAGCACTGCCACCAAATCAATCACCCTAAGATACTATGTTCCTTTGAAATTCTTTGTTTCAAGGGGAAAAAAAAATCCTTAGCCACAATTCTAGGTTCCCCCATAACCTGGTTTCATATGTTCCTTAATTTCTCTATATGAACCCTCCTACTTGGCTTGATATGTCCAGAACACTATAGAATTCCAACCTGCCAGTTCTTTAGCACTCATTCCAGAACTTCCCTAACTACCTAGCCCATACTTTCCTGCGCTAGACCCGTTCCACGGGTGATCGCATCCATTTCCATGATTTTAAGCACCCTTTACATGTTGGTGACTCCCTAACTTATCTCCAGTCCCAAACTCCTTAGCTCTGGCTGTAGATAGATGTTTGCTCCTTTATGTCCTACAGGCTTCTCAGGCCCAAAATGAGCTTGTAACCAACCTTTCACCATGAGCTTAATCTTCCTCCCATGCTCCTCACACTCAAATCCTGGCTGTCCCCTACAACTTTCACACCTGGTTAGTCACCCAAGTCTATGGACAATTCCTTATGTCTCTCTCCGATCTGTTTCCTTTGGCCCCATCCCACCATCATAGCCTTAGATCTAGATCCTCCTTGTCTTTCATCTGGAATATTATGAGTATCCTAACTGGTTCCAGCCTCACCCCACCCCAATCTACATCATCAGGATGATTTCTAAAACACAACTCTGTCACTCGTGCACCATCTCCCACCGCGTCCTTCACCTTTGGAATTTATCCCTCCATCCCTTATTGAATTACTGTACTGCCCCTAATATACTAAGCTATTTCACATCTTTATGAATTGGCTCAAGATGCTACTTTGCCTACAATGCCCTCCTCACCTTATGTGCCAGATGACTGCTTCTGATCCTTCAACACCTGCCCAAGTGTGAACATGCCTCCCATGAAGCCCTGTCAACATCCTGCCCCATCCCCAGCAAAATTAAATACCATCTTCCTTAGTATTTCTTTTGTACTGATCTGGGATAGTATGTTAAACCATTTAAGGCAAGTTATGAGCTATTAACAATCAGGGACTTATCTAGCTGACGTTCATATCCCCAGCTCCAAGCACAGCAGCTTACACATAACAGGTGTTCAGTTCCTATATGTTGAATTGAACTAAATGATCTTTCCCCTCTTCTGTTCCTAAGGTGCTTCTCTGCACTGTGTATTTGACTCTTGCCACGTGCCATTGTCTGTCTGTATGCCTTGTCTTGGCTAGGTCCTAAGGTCTCAAAAGGCACTGTACGTACTTCTGGTATCCTTTCAATGCTTTGCAAAAAATGTTTGATAATTATTTGTTGAAAGACTCTAAAAGGAATTTTTTGTATCTCTTGATTTAAAACCCCAGCAAGCTGTTAATTTCCTATCAAAACAAGTCTAAAAGTTCCTCATCCAGTCTTCAGGGACCTCTGTCATTTCACATCACCCTAAGTTATATTGCTCCATATTCTTCGCCTATTGGACAGCAAGCTATAAGCTCATGAGAGCAGGGACTGTCTATCTTCCTCGCCTCTGTATACCCCAATCACAACTAAATGATAGGTGTTTAACAGTTATCTCCCAAATGAATTAATTAACGTAACCATTTACTGACGAAAAAGGACATGCATGAGCTGCTCAACAAGAGGTATCTGCAGATTATTTGATTTGGTAATTTGAGATACCAAAGAATTTGGTCTTTTGAGCTTTAGAAAATACAGGAGAGGAAATCACGATGTCTGTTTAACATTTTGTCGTACCAACAAATATCATAAATCTTAGTGTCTCATGGACACCAACAGAATCCATGACTGTGCCATTCTGGGGTTAAAAACAAATCCTCAAAAAAGGTAACTACCTCTGGAGACTCCTGGAGTTGCCCAAATTCCAATAAAACATCGACTTTAAGGACTTTAAAAGAGAAGTTAAATCACACCTAAGTCTGCGTAGCACTGACTGTGCCGATCTTAACGAAAGGGGCACAAAGCAGAATTCCTTAAGAGTCTAATAAGGTAGGTGTCGTCAGTGGTAGGAGGGGAAAAGGGAGTAAGAGCAGAACTGGGGAGGAGGCAGTGGGACCATGATGGCAACAGGTGGCGATGAGACAGGCCCCAAGGTGGAAAGAGGAAGGGCACTACTACAGTTTCTTTATCCTGGGCAGCCCAGAGCCCAGGAAAGGAAGAACCGTCAGCTGGAACGTCAAGTCTCACAAAACTCTACCAGCAACATCTTCTACTGCAAACAGCTTCTCAAAAGACCACCTCTCCCCTGTAGGGTCAGTATAGAGAAAGCTGGAAGCTAAGCTGGAAAAGTGTTGTAAAGAGTGGGATGAAGGGAAAAAACATTTCTCCTCCTGGGATAATGGCCCAGGAGACAGTAAGATGCGAACCTGCTCCAGAGCTGGGGCAGGATGCAGTATACCTGGGTTGCTCCTCACCGTACACATCCATTTTACTCCAAATCCCCACCTGATGATTTGGGCCCAAAGTTGTTACATCCACCAGTAAATGAAAGGAGGTTCTCGCATTTCGGTCTGCTGCCAGCTATGTGTACTCATTCGTGCTGTTCAAGGCTGCCGCTAATACAACAGCCTTGGGGCCCGCGTGCTCAGACTCGACGGTGAGTTCATGCCCCAGTGCCCGCACATATCCAAGTTCAGCATCTTAAACATCACACGGGAGATTAACAGAGGCCTTGGCATGAATGAAGGGAAAGCAATGTGCCAACCCCTAATTCTGAACTAACTTTACATTGCTAAGAGATGAGGAGCGAGACAATGAACAGAAGCGGCAAATGGAAGGAAGAGGGACAGAGGATACCGACGTGCAGAACATACAGAGAATCAGGAGCTCCAGCTGACACTGTTCAGGCTTTCATGGTGCCTGGCTAGGAACCACAAGGGTTTCGCATCCTGGCTCCTCCCTCATCTCAATTTCTGTAGCTCATGCCATGAGAGAGATCATCCTTGCTTTTCTACCAACAGTCCCATATGACCTCAGTGGCTGAACTCCAACTACATCACTTCTTGGTACACAGCTGGCTTTTGTATTCTCTGTCTTCAGGTCCTCGCAGTCCATGCTTGAGGGGCGTCTGGGTGATCATCATGTCTGCCTATATTCGTAATCTTGGTTCCTTAAAATATCAAGAGTAATCTCAACTGCACTGTACAGATCACAGCAGATGCACCACAAATACTTCTGATGGGAATGGAGGTTATGGTTTTAGACGAGTGGCAGAATGACGAACATTTTTTCATGCACACCATATTGTGGATGATGTTTCAAATCTGAATTTGGGCCTATGCAAGGTAGGTGGTTTAATATGATCCCCGGGGGGAAATGTAACCTTACATGACCCTGTTCATGCCAAGACTCGAATCCTACCCTTCCTCCTGCCATATTTCTATCTGAAAATAACTGGGAATTATTCTTGGGATAAATTAGTAAAATATAAACAGACAGTTCTTGGGATAAACTAAATTCCTGGGAACTTCATTTTCAGGGTATCAAGTTATTAGAGCACACCTTTCATTTCTTCTAAAGCCAACAGTTAAGAAAAGTTGACAGGAGGTTCCCACCGGTAACAAAATGTTTACGTACAAACAGTGTCACGTTGCACACAGCACACTTCACAGAGGAAAGTAATTTCTGCAATCGAAAGTGCTCAGGTAGGAGGGAAACCAATGAGCTGTGGGAACAAGACATCACAGCTGCCTGTGGGAGAGAAAAGCCCCAAGTCTCCTTCAGGAGAGGAAACCCCCAGAGTTGACCCGGAAGTAAAGGGAAGGCTTTCACTCCTACCCCCTGGGGGGGATTTCAGGGAAATGGGCTCACCCCTCAGGATGAGGCCAGCTGCTGGGAGCTGACTTTGCATCTGACTGTCCACTGAGGGAGAGCCAGGGCTCCAGGGTTAGTTTCTAAGCCACTCAGCTCCCGGGGGAAGGAATCTCTGAGAATCCAAACCCTACCTCGATTCCAGGCCTAAAGAGCTGGAGAATTGTCAAGCCCAGATAGGTGTGACTGTCCTGTCTGATCTCAGAGAAACCACTTGGGTGAATGAATATCACACCCGAGTCCTGCCCTTTCTCTGCACTCTCTGGTTTTTCCCTCCCTGTTGGCCACCTCGACTGCACTGGGTGCAGGGCTGACACTGCTAGAAGGCGAGGGAAGTCCCGAGATTAGACCATCCCCCAAAGCCAACCTTAACTCCTCTGAATCCATTCAGAACATTACCTGGTAGCCACCCCCCGGCCCCTCGGCTTGATCCAAAGGCACTCTCAGCCCGAGACCTTACTTCTACTCTCCTGTCATGGAACCAGACCCTGCCCTTGGCCTCTCTCTCCTTGGGAAGCCCTGGTCCCAATCCTTGGACCTCCTGACACCAACTCACAAGCAAGGTCCTACTCTTGCAGCTTGGCTGAGGACCACTCACTGTCATCTGCCCAAGGCACAAGTCCTCTCTTAAAGCATCTGGCTTTCTGATGCTTTCCCTCTCCCCTGTTTGAGGCTGTTCGGGTGAGTCCTGTCACCCAGTCCCGAGTTTAGCATCCCCCTGTTCACATCTGCGCTCTATCCCTACCTCATGTCCAGGTCCCTCCTCCCCTCAGCCCAGCCATACCCTCCTCAGTCCCACTGAGCAGAGCCACCCTAAAGGCACTGTGTCCAGATCCAAAACCCCAGGGCTAGCCTGAGCTGCTTTCCTGGACAACAGGACTGGCCGTCTGTTCGGAGATGGTGACACAGGCTCACAGAGAAAGCAGATACGGAAATCTGAATTGGCCTCGGTCTGGCTTGAGACCTCTCTAAACCTTACAGTTGTAAACACAAAGGAGGCCAGGGGAGGAGATCCTCAGATCATCCACCCTGGCCCACTTCTCAAGTTACTTCTCTGAGCTACTTCAGGAATTGCTGTTTCTGAGCCACTTACTCAGCAGTCCCTCGTCCCTGGACAGTTTTGTTTGGTCAAAAAATGCCTGATTAAAAGCACACGTGCTCATTCTGACCAGTAACTGAGCCCTTAGCCCTCTCCCCTCCCTGGCGGCATGCTCGTTACCACCAGCTCACAAGCTTGGGGAGACACAAAATCCTGGGGACACAATCAGTTTGGGAGAAGCCATGGAGAGGAGAGTGGCCAAGAGCTGCTTTCGGTTGTTTGGCAGACTCCACGGATGGTTATGATCAGGGACAACTGGGTGTTTTCCCAATGGGCACGCCAAGAACATTTTACTTAAGAACATGGATTCTGGAGCAGGAAAACCTGGTTCAAATTTGCTTCTACCACCTGTTAGCTGTGTGACCTTGGATGAGTTACTTTACCTCAGTGCCTCATTTACCTCAGCTGGAAACATGGGACATAACAGTATCTACTTCATGGGCCTGCCACGAAGAATGCCTGGAGGGGTGCGTGCAAAGTGTCTAGAACAGGAACCGGCAAACGTGCCCCTCATGATGGTTACAGCAAGGACCGTGATGGCAATGAGCACAGGGGCGGGCGACAGAGCTCCCGTGTGCCTCACGGCTCCAAGAGGATACCTGCCAGGTGTAGCTAGCTCTCCTACCATGGCCATCTTTCCCATTCAGTCCTCCCAACCATCCATTTCACAGACGTGGAAACAGGCTCAGAGAGCAAGTGACCACCGTCTCACTGCCCCCCAGTGTAGCCAGGAACCGAATCCAGTCTGTGACCCCAAAGCCAATGTGCTTAACTCTGCCACCAAAGTGCGTCCAATTCTCCAGAGGAAGCAGAAATAGGCTTTACCAGCCCAGGCTCTGCCTTTGCCCTGCAAATGCCAGCCAGACGAGAAAGAGCATCTGCGTATCATATTTAAGGGAAAAGGCTTCCTTCTCGTGGGAGCTACTGCTGGGTTTTCTCAGAGTCGCACTGCTTTTACTGAAAATTCTTTCTCACCGCTTGGTGTGGCCCTGATGTTTCACAGATCCACCCAGACGAAGGCAATGGCGGAACATCTATCTTCTTAGTAACAGAAAGCAAATGGCTACTTATCAAGTTTCCCCCAGAGAGGACTCAGTCATAAAAACGTCATGAAGGCCAGGGATGCCCAGGCGGCTCAGTCGGTTAAGCGTCCGACTCTTGATTTCGGCTCAGGTCATGATCTCAGGGTTGTGAGATCGAGCCCCACGTCAGGCTCCATGCTGGGGGCAGAGCCTGCTTAAGATTCTCTCTCTCTCTGCCCCTCCACTGCCCGATCTCTCCCTCTCTTAAAAAAATTTTTTTTTCCATAAAGCCCAAATTCCTTCTGAAATGTCACTTGGCCCATTCAACTTTCCCTAGGAAAATATTGTTTGGATCTGCTTTGATGACCAGGGTGCCTGTTCCGTATTATGATCACCTTCAGCCACTGAAAGCAAGAAACCAGTGAAGCATCCCACTGTAACCAATATCTCAAACCTTTTCTCTTGTGGACACCTTGGCCTGGGGATGGAAAAGTAATTTCCCTTCACACTTACACCGTGACTTTGGTCTATGGGCCCTAAGGTGATCTTTTGAAGGGCAGAAGGAAGCTGCCTTGGTTGCTCTTCCTTTCCGCTATGCCACCGAGTCTGAGTGCAGCCCCGCCGCGGGAACAGGCTCTTACCTGTGCAGTGAAGAAGGCTGGGGTGAGGGATCCCGAGGGGAGAGCTGGGCTGTTGAGGGCGATGGAGCCGATGTCGGTGCCGGAGAGCACCAGCGGGGGCGCAGAGATTTCCAAGCCTTTGGGTTTTTTGGCCTTTGGGGGAAGAGATGGAGACCTGGTCTTGGAGCCCGATGACAGGTTCAAGGGCTCTAGGGAATCGGAGTCATGGCAGGCGGCCTCCAGGAAGAGGCTTCTGTGTTCAGAAGGGAGGGGCGAGCTGGGGGACAGGGATGGGGACCGAGACGAGGAGGGTGACGCGGACGAAATGCTGGCGGCATTTGGCAACATTAAAGAGGAGACCTTGGCTGAGGCCGACGAGGCCAGGAAGGCCTCAGACGTGGAGGGCAGGGGCACCACGGGCCTGCTGGTGTGCTTGTCGGTTTTATTGGTCACAAACCTGATGACAGTCCTGACTTCTTCCACGGGAGGGCTGTCTTCCGGCTGTTCCTCCAGCTTCTCTGTCTTGATTGCTTTGAAGGATTCCGGCGGGTTCTGCAGGGAATTAATGGTGAAGGACGAGTACAGGCCTGAGTGGATGTATTCGTTGCGGCTTGCGCTTTTGAGGGCCGACAAGCCGTGTCTGTGCACCTCTCGGCCCTCGGGAGGCGCCTTGCAGTCGCTGTCCTGCAGCAAAAGGCTCTCCCGGCTGATCTCCACCGCGTGAGGGTCCATTTTCAGTATCTCCGGGAAAGAGACAAACTTGTACACAAACTTCTGCCCAATCACCTTCTTGATGATGTTCTGTGAATACAAGAGGAGACAGTGAAAAGATCAGTGCACCAGAGAAATGGAGGAGAACGACGTTCGTTGTCATGGGGAATTCTGCCAGCAGCCGCATGGAAACAGTCCTCTTGACTGACGCGTCTTGGCTAAGGTGCCATGGAAAGGGGACTCGAGTGGGAGGCAGCGGAATTCGATTTGCTTTCCAGCCCTGCTGTGACGAACGGCGTGCTCTTTAGCACAGCGATGGTCCTTTTTGGCTTCCCCCCCTGTGAAGTTAAGGGTTAGTCTACCTAATAACATCCTAGCCATCGCCCTTTGCTAAGCACTTACTACGTGGCTGGCAGTGTCCCCGCACCATCTCATGGCATCTGTACGGTAATCCTAAAAGGAAGGTAATCAGTACCTAAAAATTAATGATTCAACTCCCGTTTTAAAACTTAAGAAAATAAGCTTAGAGCGCTTAAATAAGCCACAGGAGCCACATGGTAGGTAAGTGGTCGAAGCAGCATTTCCTTCACCATAATGCAGTATTGTCTTACCTACCTCTGGGACTTGTGAGAATTCAATGAAATAATAACGGGAAAGCATTCTGTAAGCTGGAACGCATTATAGAAACGTAAGTTATTATCACCCACCACCACAATGTTTTCTTAAGTCATGTAGCCATTTTTTCCTTTTTAATTTTCTGCCAAGAAAGCCACTGGAGGAAAAACAACTTGTCTACTTTGATATTTACATCACTCCTACAGTATTTTAAGTTGCTGGTATCTACCTCTGGCTCTTCAGTTTATGGCTCCAAGTCCTCAAACATTAGGATGTCAGTGAGAGCCAAGAATCACTGCAAAAGTGTTCACACCCCTTTGGGAGAACGGACTTCATTGGAAAGACTCTCTACTGTTCTTGAGGTTTATTTCATTGGAACGTCAGCAAATATCTATCAAATGTTTGTGGGGTGAAAGGCCCTCCACCGAGACAAAGATGGTCTTCCTCAAGCACAAAGAGCTAGCAGCACCATCCTGTGGGGAAAAGACTCAAAATGTTTCCTTACAAACTGTTCCTCCTCAAACTTGGGTATGAGTGAGGGTGTAAAACAAAAAAAATCATCTGGGGGGAAAAGAACTTTAGAAGCAGTAACTCCTATTGAGCACCTACTGCATACCGGATATTGTGCACAAGCTATCTGATCTGTTCTCACACTCACCCTCCTGGAGGGTGGAAGGTGTCCTCTTATGACACAAGCTCAGAGATGGGGAGTAATCTGCCCAAAACCCACCACGATCTACTCCTTCTGAAGCCTCAGCTTTTTCACATTTCCACAAAAATTTGGGTGGAAAGAATCAAAGAACCCCTTAGTAGAGGTGAAATTTTCAAAATGGAGATGGAATTAACAGGTAACATTGTATTAGTTTCAGGTGTACCACATAATGATCACAGGTCTAGTGAACATCGATCACCACAGAGTGTAACATTTTTTTTCCTTGTGATGAGTATTTTTAGGATCTCCCCTCTTAGCAACTTTCAAATATACCACAGAGATGAAATTTAATTAAATTTGATGTTCCTTCTGTGATCATCGTTTGGTTTATAAGCATATTATGTTTTTGCCTTCCCTCTTGTTACATTACAGCATGCCGATTTGCAGTTTTCCTCCTTAAAACAGATCATCAAATCCCAAAAGTGAATTTATCCAGCCATCCGGAGGGGAGGGCATATTTACTATGCCACTGAGATTTCTGAGCAAGAATCCCTCTGGGCAGGCATCGAAGGGACGGACACACAATGTCCCCATTCAGCACCGGAAATCCCAGTAACGCAAATCCTGGCGAACCTTCACTCAGCACCAGCCCACAGGAGGCTCCCAACCCTGAGCACGTTAGATTCTTTAGATTCGAGGCTGAACAGTTCTAGTGCCTGGCAGCCTGGTGCTGGGACTACAAATTTAACCCACTGAATGCCATTTACCTCCATCTGACCTCAACTGCACACTGAACACTAGCAAAGCTGACTACCATTTACACACCTTCAGAGAAATTTGGGAAACTTACAAGTTCCACCTGGGCCTCCTTGGCAGCATCTCAGTGGGCGTCCCACCAGGCGTGGGTAGACAACATGCCTAAGAGAAATCCACTCCCGGCAGGATAGGGTTAAATAAGGGTGTCACTGGTACCACCTGACTCCGGGTGGGTTCTCAGTAAAAAGAAAGCACGCTTGCCCGGCCTGTTCCGCTGCTACAATTCTCAAGTATTTCTGGCTTTCGTTAATATTTTTCTCCCTAGGTGAAAACTTTATTTTGTCCTCAGCCAGTCTGAACATCCATCTAAATTGACTGAGTTATTAGAGCCTAAATAATTACACAGAAGAAAAGAGAAACTGTATGGTCTGAATCATTTCTTCAAGGCACGTTCTTGTAAAGTTTTTTTTAAAAACCTTTAATTTTATTATGGGTATTCAGAACGTAACTTCTGAGATGGAACTATATGCATAAGCAAACCAAGGAGTGATTTGGGGCTGTGATAAAAATAACAAAAAGGCCCCTCCTCCTGAAAATGGCTGGGAACTGAAAGGTAGTCAAAGAGCTGGGCTTTGATGTGTTAAAAAGAACAAAGAAGGAGCGCCTGGGTGGCTCAGTCCATTAAGTGAAGGCGGACTCTTGATTTTGGCTCAGGTCATGATCCCAGGGTCATGGGATGGAGCCCTTCGTCCGGCTCCATGCTCAGCACAGAGTCTGCTTCTCCCTCTCTCTCTGCTCCTCCACCCCCCTTGCCTCCGCTGTCTCTCTCTCTCTAATAAATAAACTCTTATAAAAAAAACATAAGGAACGACTCACATGACTATCGACTGACAAATGGATAAACAAAATGTATATTCAGACTACAGAGTATTATCAGCCATAAAAAGGAATGAAGTACAGACGCATGAAACCACATCAATGCACCTTGAACGCATTAAGTGCAAGAAAGGTCGCATATGTGATGGATTCCATTTCTATCAAAAGTCCAGAACAGATAAACCTAGAGAGACAAAAGAGTCATTTCCTAGGATTTGGGGGTGATATGGAGGAATTGAGGGTGACATTAAAAAGTTAAGGGTTTGGGAGGAATAGTGAAAATGTCCTAAAATTTACAGTGGTTTTGGATGCACAACTCTGTAGATATGCTCGAAGGTCACTGAATTGTATACCTTTAATAAGGGTCCATTGGATGGTATATGAATCATACTTCAAGGAAGCTGTTTTTTTTTTAAAAGAACATGAGAATCTTTTCTTCCTCCAGCTTTACTGAGATGTAATTGAAATATAACATTGTGAAGTTTAAGATGTACAATATGAAGATTTGATGCATGTATATACATTGCAAAATGTTTACCACAATAAGGTTAGTTAACACATTCATCAGCTCATATAATTACCATTTTGTTGTGGTGGTGGTGGTGGTAACATTTAAGATCTACTCTCTTGGCAGCTTACAAGTATATAATACAGTATTGTGAACAACAGTCACCATCCATACCTTAGATCTCCAGAACTTACTCATTTTGTGGCTGGAAGTTTGTACCTTTGACCAACATCTCCTCATTTCCTCACCCCTCAGTGGCCGGTAACCACCACTCTACTCTGTTTGTAGGAGTTCTGCTTTTTTAGATTCCACACATAAGTGAAATCATTCAGTATTTGTCTTTCTCTTATTCCTTTTAGCATAATGTTCTCGAGGTCCATCCAAAACATTTGCGTGTTTAAATGGGAACCTTCTATGGCTGGATGGTGACTGCCATACCCCTACTGTGAAGATAAAAAAGGAGCCTCCACAAAGGACACTGAACTCAACCATAGCAAGAGGGGCCCCGCAGTAGCTGCTGCCTCTCTCGGGGGGGGGGGGGGGAGGGGGGGGAGAGTTACCAGGACACCACCATAGCTTTTTAGGAAAAGGGTACAGTGGCAGGGATGGAGCTGACCAAAAGGAGGAAGAAACCTTTGGAAAGAACCAGGGCAGACAGGAAAGATGGAGTAGATCTGGCTACCCAGACAATCTGGGCATGAAGGGGTGTGGAGGGTGCAGGAAGGAGGTCAGGGCACTGTAGCCCCGCTGTTTGAGAGCCCAACCCTGCACGGGGGAAATCTGCTCACAGGAAGGGAGCTGGTAAGGAAAACCCTCCCACCAGGATGCCCACAGCCTGAGACCTCGGTAGCAGACTCAGAGGAGGTATATGCCTGGCAGCCGAAATCACAGCCTCTCAACTTCCAGGGCAGACCCTGGGAGCACATGGGTGGCACGTACATTCAACTAACTCTCTGTGGTCTCTGAAGGGAGACTGCTTTTCAAGGATTTGCCCCGCGAAAAAAAAGTAAAACCTGTTTAATTTTCTTTGACTTTACGACGTTGCTTTCAATAACTAAATGTTAAATGTGTTAAGACTTGACTTGTATACTACTGTTGTAATTTTTTCAAGTTAAAATTGTCCCTAAATGCCACTTCCTGTATCTGATTTTTCCCAGTAAATGAGGCAAAGCAATTCTAAGACCTTCCACAAACATCTAGCCATCTAAAATGGAAAGGTGAATCCTTCTGCCTCTACAAACAAGCTAGCTATTAGAGGGCAGCTGGGGTATGCTCTTAGGATTTCAGGGTGTCTTCAAATTGAAATCTCAATGTTCTCAGTATGAAAAACCCGAGATCAGATGCTTATGTAAGGAAAGTGCTATTCACCCAGTAAACCCAAAAAAACAAATGGATAATGCTGGCCATATTTTGCCTTTCTGACATTTCCTTAGGAATCCAGCAGAACCTCCCTTCCCCTCCCGCAATAAGACCATTTAAGTGTGTGTTAAGCAACTACAGAATACTAAATAAAAAGTGTGGTCACCCCCCCCCCCAAAAAAAAACAGTTTGTCCTGCGAGGAGTTTGCTGAGAAAACTCACAGTATAGGGGAATAATAGATAGTAGTTGCTGAGCACATATTATCAGGCTGGGTACAAAGAACTTGACCACCGTTAACTCAGTTAGTCCTCTGAGAGACTGGA